CCATGGAATCTCAAAGAGATGGACATGACTCAGCAACTAACACTTACCTAATCTTTGTATTCTTAGGCCCAATAATAGGAATTCAGATTTCATAATGTGACGTATGTATGCATAAGATACCTGCTCTATTTGAAATATATTTCTGCCTAATTATTTAGAAACAAAGCTCCCTAATTCTTGTTAATTATTTATTTAATATACAGGAAATGAAATTAAATGAGAATATAGAATGAGAGTTAATAGACCTCGTGTTAGAATACCAAATATGCTTTATAAAGCTGCCATAATTATGAAGACCAGACTTGAAGTCTGGTTTATGGGAGTTTTCCTCAAGAATATGTCTAATTAAGCATGCTCAGAGATGTGTTAAAGAAATAAAAATAATAACACATTGTATGCAAGTGAAAATAAAATCTTCTGGTAGTGGGAGTATATATGGGTTTCATTTAACTTCTCTTACCCTCTATTTTTCACATTTCTATAATTGTTGCCTGTTAGTTTTATTATTAAATATTCAATAAAATTTATTTTTATGGAAAAGACAGCTCTGGACTGACCACTTTGTAGCTTAGACATAATTGTAAAGCCATGCAGCATTTACTTATTCCTGTCTCGATGTCTTGGTACCATAACTAACTGCTCACTTTGCCAGAAATGTTTCTTAATACCCCCATTAAATCAGGTCTCATCTTGTTTTTTGAAATCATTCTCATGAGCCATCACTGGTCACTCTATAGAGTTTTCCAGTTTCTGTCATATCATCACATATCATGTATATCTCATAATTATAGTCACTATCTGATATTTATGTTTATACATTAGATTTTTGCCTGATAGAATTTACATATCACAATAAGATTGTGTACAGTTTTATTTATTACCACATTTGCAGTGTATACGACAGGTTGAAATGTTTGAATGGCATAAGTGACTCAGTGGACGCAAGTATGAGCAAACTCTGGAAGATAATGAAGGACAGGGAAGCCTGGGGTGCTGCAGTTCATAGGTTCGCAGAGTCGGACATGACTAATTGACTGAACAATGAACAACGACAATGCATATGGCAATGCATTGTGCACAGTGCTTTCTGAAGAACTGTCAGAATGAACTCAGTGAGTGACCGGATTAATTGGGCTAAAAGGGTAATCTCATAGGCTGTATCCCCTATCCAAATCCCAAATCTGTACTCAAAGATGATTAGGTTATTTCAGTGGACACCTCCATCCACAGAGTGGTATCTTACTGTCTTGTATCATTTGATTCCCCTCTCTGTGATAGTGAAGGCTTTACTGGTTTCATTTTTTTGTAGGAGACACTGACCATACCAAGAAGGCATTTGAATTGTAATCCATTTTACCTGGGAAAAAATGGAGCATTTCATAGTTTATAAAGTTGTTGCATTGAAACTGGTGAATGGGAGATAAAAGCCTGCAGACTAGTCTGTGAGCTAAGTCAGTCCAATAGAGCATGTTTAGTGTGACCACCAGGGATTTTTCTCAAACTCAATTCACAAGAAGGAAAATATGCAAGGCAGCCAATTTTCCACTTCAGGTCCCCTAACAAAAGCTTTCAGAACTGACAGCTTATACTTTATTAAACAGAATATAAATTAATAAACACACACACACAATCTTGTGACTAATTGTATTTACTAGCATTTCAGGGTCAGATAAGAGAATGTCTCTGTGAGAAAACCTCTTGATTCTTCTTTCTCCTACAGCAATTTTTATATGTCTGCTTAATTTTACAATCATTTAAGAATGTTAATGCATTTTTAAACTCAAGAAATATGTATTGAAAACCTGCTGTGAGCCAGAAACTATTCCAGATGCTGGCGATACTGCAATGAAGAAAAGGAATGGAAAAATACATTCTAGTGGGTGAAAGGAGGCAAATATATAATAAAAATGAAGTATATCAGGTGGGATTAAATACTAGGGAGAAAAATAAAGCAGAGATGGGGCTATAAATTGTCAGCACAGGATAGGCCTGCCGAATAAATGCAATAGCCCTGTGGTTGAACCATTCCTGGATGCTCAAACCAAGAGCAGAACAGCTGAAACAGATGGAGCAGGGAGGAGAGTAGTCAGAGGTTATTCACAGAGGCACTGGAAATCAGATCATAAAGAAATTCACAGGCCAATGTAAAGACTCAGCTTCTGAGATAAGAAAGTATGAAAGGAAGAGGATCAGGTGAATCAAACATTTTTACCTGACAGGAATTGCTATTGCCTGGAATGGGGAATATTGTCTGGGGGACCATGTTTTGGGGAAAGACAGATGTCAGGAATTGGATTTTGAACATACAATTTTTTGAGAAGATTGCAAGTAGTTGGCTGTATGAGTGTGGAAATCAGAGGAGAGTATGGTAATCATGGGACAGAGTTGGTACTGAAAGCCATGGGCCTGGGTGAGATGACCAAGAGAAAGGGGAGAGCCTCACGAAGTAAGCCCAAGTAAGCTTTACCTTAAGTAAAGCTTAAAGGTCAGGGGGAGGAAGAGCAGCCTTTAGTAACGTGGGGAGAAAATCAGCAAAAAGTATAATGTCCTAGCAACCTGCTAAAGAAGGAGTTAGGAGAATAAGGGATGCACTCTCAGTGTTGCTAGTAGATTAGGTATGAAAAAAAATGCTGAAAAATCGACTGTTGAATTTAGCAGGATGGAGTTTCGTAGTGAACCTGATGAGAAATTTCATTTGAGCGATGGAAGTAATGGTCTAATTGCAGTGAGTTCAGGAAAGAATGTAGAGGTGGTGACAACTCTTTTGAGAAACTCTTCTACAAAGGAGAACTAAAAAGTGAATCAAAAGCTTAAAGAAAATGTGAGCATCAAAGAAAGAAATTCTGAAGATGGAAGAATTCACAGCATGTTTGTATGCTAATGAGAGTGATCCAGTAGAGAGGGGAAAATGGATGGATAATTTAGTAAAGAACATGATAATTGCTAGAGTGACACTCCTGAGTGGATGAGAGCGATCTAAGGTAGAAATGAACATGAATATTTATCTCTAGTAACAAAATGAAAACTGTCAATTAGAACTGAAATTATTTATTATTTTGACCTAGACACTAGTGGAGAGAAAGAACAGGGGTAGTGTCATGGATCTTCCAAGCATGCTGCTTTTTTTTCTAAATAAAATCAGAAATAAGAGCTCCAGCTGGAAGTGAGGATCAGAGGGGTACTGTTGAAAAGTTGAGAAGAAGGAGAAAGTTTTAAATTTTCTCCTAGAAGAACGAGAGAGTGGATGGAGGGGAGAAGAGATTGGCACACTTTTTCTATGAAGGACCAGATAGTAAAGATTTTAGCTTTGGGCTATTTGGACTCTGTCACAATTTCTCAGTTCTGACTTACAGGGAAAGCAGCCATAGACAATAAGAAAGTAAAGTCGCTCAGTCGTGTCTGACTCTTTGCAACCTGGTGGACTATAGCCCGCCAAGGCTCCTCTGTCCATGGGATTCTCCCGGCAAGAATACTGAAGTGGGTTGCCATTTCCTTCTCCAGGGCCATAGACAATATACAAGCACAAATTATGGGTATGGCTGTGTTCCCCCATACAACATTATTTGTAAAATCAGTCTGGATTTGGCTATTGGGGTCATAGTGTGCTTACTAAAAACAAAAGAAAACAACACTAAGGGACCATTTTAGATGAGTGGGTCAAGAGAGGTAACTCCATTTAATACACTGTATGTTTTTTTTTTTTTCAACCGATTTTTCTGTGCTTGCTAAGTACATGGAAAATGTGGCTTAACTAAGGTTGAGATTTTGCCAGAAAAGAGTAACCAATAGAGGGAGGTATACAAAGAAATCATAATAATTAGTAGTGAAATCTAACTAGGCTCATTAAAGAAGAGGAAAGAGGTAGGAGCAGGGTGAAAGAGTAAAGAGTAAAACATTGGCAGGCTCAAAGGACTGTGGTTGTAGTTGCAGAAATGTTGGAATAGGCATGTTAAAGGGAGTAAATTTAAAAAGTCAGGAAACATCCTCCAGAATAAAATAAATGGTGTTTATTTAACACGATGGAACATAGTGTTATTGGCTAATCCTATGGTGGTAATCATTTTGCAACATATAAGTTTATTAAATCAACACATTGTGCATTTTAAACTTACACAATAATGTATGTTAATTACATCTCAATTAAATTGGAAAAAATAAAAAAGGATAGATTTGTCATTTGGTGAATGGGGTGGTTACATTGATATTACTGAGGGAATGCAGTTATTAGTAATAGCAAGGCTAAGAAACAGTGAGAGGATCTCTGAGGGAAGAATAGGATTGCTGCAGTAAAGAAGGTGAAGGAGTTGAGAATCCAGGGAATAAGAATTATTCACAGGTATACATAACTCACATAGAGGGTAACTATGGGAAGTGTAAACTTCCAAGAAATAACATTGTGGAATGACTAAGAAAAGGCTGGTGATACCAGCGCAGGTTGGGTGCATGAGACAAGTGCTCAGGCCTGGTGCACTGGGAAGACCCAGAGGGATCGGGTGGAGAGGGAGGTGGGAGGGGGGACCGGGATGGGGAATACATGTAAATCCATGGCTGATTCATGTCAATGTATGACAAAAACCACTGCAATGATGTAAAGTAATTAGCCTCCAACTAATAAAAATAAATGGAAAAAAAAAGAAAAGGCTGGTGATAGGTGGTAAGGTTTGATGGATGAAGCTTCATTCTGTTTTCTTGTCCTGTTTTCAGGACAAAGGGAGGGAGACATCTGAAAGTAGCAATAAGGAGCAAAGAGGGCCCCCCTCCATACCTGCGGGTATGAACAAGGACACAAAGGAAAAAAAAGAAATCCACCAACTGTAGGGAACTGTAGGAAAGCAGTGTCCTTGTAGGAGAATCAGGTCACAGGGAAAGAAGGTGAAGTGAATGATCATAAGAGAGGTTGAGAATAGGAAGTTTTGTTTGACTCTGACCCTCAGCTCCCACACACAGTAGATAAAGGTTTGGAGGGGTAGAGACAGCAGGAGAAGGCCACAGAAACGGGGATGCGTAGAGACAGATTTGAAATGAAACTGTGGCATTATGTGAGATTCCTAGTCACTGATCAAAACAAGAATAAAAGGTCTGATGGAATTAGTCCTGATGCACAAGAGAGTGGTGTGATAGCACTTGCTGAAGAGGAAGGGGGACGAGGTGGTATTGCCCGGAAAGACCGAAACAAGGGCAGGGCTATGTTCCCCAGTCTTGCCCAACACTTGGTCCCTAGTTCTGGCGTGAAGTTTTGTGCCATAGAACTTTTGCCTTCTGGCCAAGACCTTCAAGAAAGTTTACAATGTGACACATTATATCCTTCAATCCTCCAGAGGGATCTAATACATCAAAGCCATCCCCTCCTCCCAGACCAGGACTGGTTTCCCTTGCACTTTCTGGTTAACTCTTGGCCATGACTTGGCTGTCCCCATGGAATTGTTGGCTTTTCTTGTTTTTGATAGGCAGATAATCTTCAAGTTGAAATACAGTTTTGAAAGCCATTTTTTTCAAGAATGAGGATTGTGCTGAGCTGCTTTTTTGTCCTGTGCCTTTATCTTCGAAAGCTTTGTAGAGTTTGTCCTGTTTCACTTTCAAAACATAAAAAAAGCATCAGTTTCTGCCCTTCAAGTTGTTCAAAGGTGAGAATACTTTTTATAATAAACAGTGTAGTTGAATGATAATGCTTATTGGGGCAAAATATTTCTAAAGGTGGGAGAATGAACTCACTGTCATTTGTCATCCAACCTAGGACACTTTTGAGCATGAAAGGGGATGATATGAATAATTAATCCAGGACAGCAGGCACTATATTGGTATTGTACTAAGCTCCTTTAACAAAGACATCCCAAAATATAGAAGCTTAAGTAACATAGAAGTTTCTTTCTCTGACATAATGATCCAGAGTAAGAGTTTGAAGGATGGAGAGTGGCCCTGTTTTTTTTTTTTATCTCCGTAAGTCTAAGGGCTGATCCATTCGCAACAATTTTGTAAAGAGAAGGAGGAGAAAGGAAAGAGTGGCTGGGAGATAATCAGAAGCTGTTTAGGAACTTAACTCAAAAACTGCACACATCACTCACGCATGTGGAGTGGCCACTGGACAGAAGGAAGCCATGTGGCCTCACTTAGCTACAAAGAAGGCTGCTCTCCAGCTGGTGGGCCATTAAGAGAAGATATTGTTTGAGATATGATTTCACCTACCTATAACAGATCAATTTACACATTGATGAGGTAAATTTTGGTGCTTCCCAGATGGTGCTAGTGGTAAAGAGACATGGGTTCAGTCCCTTGGTTGGGAAGATCCCCTGGAGGAGGGCATGGCAATCCACTCCGGTATTCTTACCTGGGAAATCCCATGGACAGAGGAGTCTTGCAGCTCCTGTCCAGACCTATATATACTATAGAAAAGTTTTGGTGTTGTCCATGTAGTACCTGTGGTAGAATGTACTAATCAGTTATCTAGCCAACAAGCATATGGGTAGCTAAGGTAAAAATACTAACGACTATCATGTACATACTTGATAGATGTATGTTTGCACATACATATAAATGATGTCACTTATGCATTGAAATTTAAAATTAGTAGAATCTTTACACATATTTTTGCTCACTAGAAAATCAGAAGAACACTTGGAACTTTAAATTATTCTCATTTCACCTGTGAAGATGTTGACATTTGAAAAAATTACCTAAAATCAACCTACCTAGAGCTACATGAGAGCATCATATCCAATTAAACCTCTTTTCTCCATACTTCAAATTAAAGTTCACCATAGTTGATGGATTTATGTTTTCTTCTTGGATAATAGAAACAAAATCACAGATGCTAGGATTCTAAGGACAGATGAGAATTGAGAGATCACTTGGTCAGCTATCCTCATTTTATTTTTGAGGAAACGAAAGCATAGACATGTTGAAACCTGACCAAAGTTTTTGAGCTAATTAATACTAGAAGCAGTGTAGAAATCTATCACACAAGAGTTCCTAATCCTTCTGCTTAGTTAATTCTTTCTGTAGTGCAAGCTTTGAGTGGCAATATCATAGTGACTTCTGAATGGCTGGCTCTAACTGTTGTTCTGTTTTGTACCTATGACTTCTCCAACTGGCTTCAATGAAGAGACCAACAGGGGCATATAGCATTACAAAAGAAAGAAAATGCCTTGTACAATGTTTTTGCAGACCTAAGTAGCATACTTATTTNATATCCTATTAGACATAATGCTATTAACACTTAGCAGACTACTGTATAGTGTAAATATAAACTTTACATTCACTGGGAAACTAAAAAATCTGTGTGACCCACTTATTGCAATATTCACTTTATTTATGGTGGTCGGGACCTGAACCTATGTTATCTCCAAGATATGCTGGTGAGTGGCACGCACGCACACACACACACACACACACACACACACACACAAATGTTTTTGAGCTGTATATAAGTTTTCTTTCTGGTTTTGTGTCATTTATTTCCGAAATGGGTTATTTAAAGGTGCCATTTAAACCTTCATATAGTACAAGCCAATCATAACATTGTACTTTCCCAGAAAGTTCACACAGGAAACCAGCAAGTGCCCCTTAAGAAAAAGTGCTATTCAGAGACCCAAGAATAGCATGACCACTTGTCAAGATAATGCTGAGATTAATCTCAGGAAGAAGTGAAAATTACTTAATGTTTGTGGCAGTGAGAAGTCTCTGCCCTCAAGTGGAGTCCAGGTCTCTACCATCAAAGCTAAGATGCACACTGAGAGTGAAATGAGAGTGTCTCCTCAAGGTTTGTGAAGATCGTTTCTACCCAAGTGGAGTGTAAGCAGAATGGCTTCCAGGAAAATCTACTGCAATTGGCTTTGACACAAGGTTCCTCTGCTTTTTGTGGGAAGGAGGCTCAGACAAGTGAAAGATTTTCAGCCTTTCTGAAAGAGAGGAAAGCTACATTGCCTTTTAAAGAATAGTTCAAGAAGGTGAGAGCAGGAGAAATTTTAAAAAATAGACCTAAATGACAAAAATCACATTGTTAGATAAAAGCAGTCGAATGGAGACAGTCAGAAATCTAGGCACAGAGGAAACGAAAAGCAGGTCAAAATTAAGTGCTTAAATGTTAAAGAAACCGAGCAAAGCCTAAACATGCTGTGAATGGTGAAATTGTACTTGCTTCTTATTTTTCTTTTATTGGGAGTTTATCTGTATTTTTCTAGATTTTCTGCATGTAAATGAATATTTCTGTAATATAAAATACAATAAAATGTATTATATACACAGAATTCCCAGGTAGCACTAGTGGTAAGGAACTCTGCCTGTTTATGCAGGAGACATATGAGACATGGGTTTGATCCCTGGGTCGGGAAGATCCCCTGGAGGAAATGGCAACCCACTTCAGTATTCTTGCCTGGACAAAGGAGCCTGACAGGCTACAGTCCATAGGATGGCAAAGAGTCTGACAGGACTGAAATGACTAAGCATGCACGTGTGTATTATATACAAAGGGACAGAATATGCTATAGAACATAAGAATTTTCACTGAGATTGAAAGTCTCACTAATATGAGAAGTTCTTTCAGTGATTATACATTTTAAACCCCAAATTAAGATGTGTGGTTTAAAATACGTTCACACAATTTTTCCTAATTTGTCATGTGTTTATTTGACAGAGCCTCAGATGTTATACAAATTAAATCTAATTTGCTTCTATATTCAGGGAATTGCATCTGTCCTGAAAAATTTGGTGCAAATGGTGGCTATATAAGCAGTCTTCATTTAGCTTACTGATTTCAATGAATGTTAAAGTTATGGTCTAATAACACTGAACATATGTGGTAGACAGTAAGAAATATTCTATTAGGATGAAAATATTAAGAAGAAAAGTTTAGGACCTTGCTGAAAAGATAATACAATGCACATTTCAAAGTATCGTTAATGGACACCTCAGTAGTTTAAAAATGCATTACTATTGTTTTTCAAAGATACTGATATTTTAGCCTATATTTTTTATTTTTCTCCAACTTTATTAAGATATAATTGACATGCATTGCTCTATTACATTAAGGTATACTGCATAATGGTTTGACTTGTATTGTGAAATGATTACCACTATAAATTTAGTTAGCATTCATCATCTCATAAAGTATATCTCATGAAGAAAAGTTAAAAAAAAAAAGAAAAAAATTGTGATGAGAAATCTTAGGATTTACTCTGTTAGCAGCTTTCATTTATATCATACAGCAAAGTTATCTGTATTCACCATGCTGTATATTATACTCCTAGTACTTATTTATCTTATAACTGGAAGTTTGTACCTTTGGGCCATCTTTCTCCATTTTCCACCACCCCAAACTCTGCCTCTGGTAACCAGAAATCTGTTTCACTTTTATATAATTTTGTTTCTTTGCTTTCCACATTCAGGTGAGATTATACAATCTTTGTCTTTGTCTTATTTCACTTAGCATAATGTCTATAACATCTATTCATCTTGTCACAAATGGCAGAATTTCCTTCTGTTTATGGCTGAATAGCATTCCATTGGTGTATATAGCCACAGTGTCTTTTTTCCACTTATCTGTCCGTGGACACTAACGAGGTTTCCACATCTTGGCTTTAGTAAATAATGCTGCTATGTACATGGGGGTTCCGATATTTTTTAAGATAATGTTTTAATTTCTTTAATATATTCACAAAAGTGGAATTGTTGGATCATATGATAGTTCTGTTTGAAGTTTTTGAGGAACCTCCATACTGTTTTCCTCAGTGGCTACAAGTATACAATCTCATCAACAGTGTATGAGGGTTCCCTTTCCCTACATCCTTGCAAACTCTTGTTATTTCTTATCTTTTATTATAATAGCCATTCTAATAGTTGTGACATGATATCTCATGTGGTCTTGATTTACATTCCCTAATGACTAGTGATATTAAACATCTTTTCATGTACCTGCTGGGCTTTTGTATATCTTTCCTGAAGAAACGTCTTTTCAGGTCTTTTGCTATTTTTAAATTGGATTGTTTTGGGGTTGTTTTGTTTTGTTTTGTTTTATGCTGTTGAGTTGTATGAGTTCATTATATATTTTGGATATAATATCAGATATATGGTTTGAAAATACTTTTTCCCATTTTAGAGGCTGTCTTTTTACTTTGCTCATTCTTTTTCTTGCTATAAGAAACTTTTCAGTATAATGCAGTCCCACTTGTTTATTTATATTTTGTTTGTGCTTTAGATGTCATATCCAAAAAAACTTTGCCAAGACCCATGTCAAGTAGGTATTTTCATATGTTTTATTCTGTAAGAGTTTCATGTCTTACATATTAGTTGTTAATGTATTTTGAATTAAGTTTTGTGAATTGTCTAATTTCATTCTTTTACATGTGAATATCCAATTTTCCCAACACCATCTATTGCAGTGGTTGTCTTTTACCCACTGAGTATTTTTAGCACCTTTGTCAAATATTGGTTGACTTAGGCTTATTTCTAGGCTCTAAACGCTCTTACATTTTGCGTCTATTTTAGTGTCAGCACCCTACTCTTTTGCTTACTATATCTTTGTCATAATAAAGATATGCTGTTGAAACAAGGAACTATGATGCCTCCCAGTTTGCTCTTTCTCAGGATTGTTTTGACTATTTGGTGTCATATATGTGTATTTCATATATATTTTATTTATTTTTTAAACCAATTTTTATTGGAATATATTGCTTTACAATGTTGTATTAGTTTCTCTCAAACAGGAAAGTGAATCACCCATACATATACATATATGCCCTCCGTTTTGGACTTCCTTCTCATTCCGGTCACCATTGTGCATTAAGTAGAGTTCCCCGAATTGTAGAGCATGTTCTCATTTTTTAGGGGGCTTCCCTGGTGGCTTAGATGGTAAGGAAACTGCCTGCAATGCAGAAGACCGGGTTCAGTCCCTGGGTTAGGAAGATCCCCTGGAGAAGGCAATGGCTATCCAATCCAGTATTCCTACCTGGGTGATTCCTTGGACAGAGAAGCCTGACAGGCCCATGGGGTTGCAAAGTTCTCATAGTTATTTATCTTATACACATTATCAATTATATATATATATAATCTCCCAATCTCCCCATTCTTCCCATCCCCTCATTCCTTTTTGGCATCCAGCTATTCATTTTCTACATCTGTGTCTCTATTTCTGCTTTGCAAGTAAGATCATCTATACCGTTTTTCTAGATTCCACATATATGTGTTAATATATTGATACAGTATTTGCTTTTCTCCTTCTGACTTACCTCACTCTGTATGACACTCTCTGGGTCCATCCACATCTCTTCAAATGACTCAATTTCATTCCTTTTATGGTTGAGCAATGGAGAAGGAACTGGAGACCCACTCCAGTCCTCTTGCCTGGAAAATCCCATGGACAGAGGAGTCTGGTAGGTTGCAGTCCATGGGGTCGCTAAGAGTTNTTCTGTATTTCTCTCTGTTAAAGTACTGAATCAGTACTATTATTGGGATTAGGTGATTGGTTTGAAGAATGGCTTTTCCTACTGGGTTTTTGAGGAATAAAACTCCCAATCAAAATGTTGAAGATGTTAATGGAAACTCCAAGAGAGAGAGATGGAAAAACAGAAGAAGGTTGCAAGGAAAGCTGGTTGGATTTTTGATATGCCCATTCACTCCCTTAAAGGACTCTGACTTTAAAACAGAAGAATTTATGTGTATTAAAATGTGATCTATCTTATTGTGAGGACTTTGGTTGATTTTCTAAACATGAGTTTAAGGACACAAATGAAGAAAATGCTTTGTACGTATCGGGCTGTAAATTCTGATTTTTTTTATATTCCTGTATTGAATTTGAACGTCTGCACTTTTCTCGAAGGTCTCCAACCTCTTTGCTCGTGATGAAACTGATGAAATTAACAGTGATCTCATATCAGTCATGAAGAAAGAGTGTCCCAGGCACCCTCCTACTAATGAGAACCTGTATGGCTTCTTCATGAGCCGGGTCCGACAGAACCTTCACATTGTCCTCTGCTTTTCGCCGGTGGGGGAGAAATTTCGAAATCGAGCCCTGAAGTTTCCTGCCCTTATTTCAGGATGCACTATTGACTGGTTCAGCCGATGGCCCAAGGATGCCTTAGTTGCTGGTTGGTATGGGGGAGATTTTTTATATCAGAATTTCTGGTTTATAGTGTGTGTGTGTGTATGTATTTATATTCCATGCCATCCACTGGATTGAGCCAAAAGTCACTTTGTCCGAGGTTTGAGGATTTTTGCAAGACTTTGCTCTTTCTCATTTGGCAGCTAATTTTTTCCCCAGAGTGTGGTTATCAGCGAATGACATCTTCAGCCTGTCCCCCTTGGGTTAATTTATGGTGATTCTGATGTTTTCAGTGTGGTTTAAAGCTTTGTCTTAGTTGGTCCCCGGGCAGGTCCCGGGACATCACAGGAGGGCACTGAGGTTTTAATCTCTCTAATAGCATTTGTGTTCTTTTTTAAGTGGGTTGGTCAACCTCAGAGCAATTTAAGCCAGGTAGTGCCTTCTTGTGGCTGCCAGGCTGGAAATCAAAGAGGAAAATGTTATCATTCGTCCTCTGATGGTTTCTGGGCCTGAAAAAGGATTGTTCAACAGAGACTTTCATGATTGGAGCCCTTGCTGCTTCTGCTTATGTTTAATCCTTCATCCTGTGGAACATGAATGCTTCTCTTAGTCTGTAAATGCAATTGAACATGAAAGTTGTATAGGAGATGTTAGAGAGCGTTCCTTCAGTTTATGGTTTTTTCAGCTTTTGGTGAGAAAGTGTCTGTGGCTATTTTAAAAGGTGGAGATAGTTGAGCCTCACCTTTGACCTATCAAGACTTCAGGAGAACCCTGATTCAGGGCAGTTGTTTTCAGACTTTTTATTAATGTGTCTTCATAATAATTAAGAAGAGGCTTATTTTCCAGTAAAACATGGCAGGTAGCCCTAATAGATAAAACAGTGAGAAGCAGAGGGGAGGAAGGATTCTGAAGCCTCATCCTTTCATGGCCCTGTTACCGGCTTCGACAATGCCTCCCTCCCTAGCTCTGCGGTTCCCAGTGGGAGAATAACTGATTCACTATCTCCCACTCATTATACATGGAAAACTGGGGACAATGGAGCTGAAGGAATTATCAGAGGTGCAAGAAGCCAATAGCTATAGTCAATATATATGCATAGTATATATATATAGTGGTGGTGATGGTTTAGTGGCTAAGTCATGTCCAACTCTTTTGTGACCCCCTGCACTGTAGCTCACCAGGCTCCTCTGTCCATAGATTTCCCAGGCCAGAATACTGGAGTGGGGTGCCATTTCCTTCTCCAGTGGAGCTTCCCAACTCAGGGATCAAACCCGAGTCTCCTGCATTGCAGGTGGATTCTTTTACTGCTGACATTTTATTCTTAGCACTCTACTCTCAGTAATAACGGTTTTCTGATCTATGTCTTTTAAACATAGAATACTTTAATATGTTTGAAATACCGATGTACAGTGTTCCCTCTTATAAGATTTGAGAAAATGCCGATGATTTAAAAATTTTAAATCCTATTAAAATGTCAATACAACTAAGGATAAAACTTTAAAATTCTTTGAAGTAAGATATAAATGCAGAGCACAAAACCACAGTATGTAAGAGCTACATTCAAGTATACTGTGAAATATGATAATTGGTATGCAAGTGCTTTGTAGACTGTTATGTAAGGTATTATTACTAACGATAAAGATAACAATTTCAAGTGACAAATACCGTAATATACTATAATTATGATGATGTCATTTAAATTATGGAGCCCTTCCTAGCAAGTCTTCATTTCAGTTATTCCTTCTATCCCAAGACATTGTTGATTTCTCACAATCTGCCCCCTTCTTTTAAATCTCTTTGCATCAACCTAAGCCAGGATTGCAGGGGGGCAGGGAAACTTTTATTTCTATGTCCTCAGCTCCTAGCAAGTGTCCTGACTCTCAGGCATCCCTATTTGTTCATTTATTCAGAACATGTTTATTGAGCTTCACATGCCATTTATGGAGCCAGGCACATTGGAGGGCAAGGCAGACTCATTTCTTCCCTCCAGCTTTCTTCCCTGGCAAGCTCATCCACAGCCTCCTGTGTAATAGGCCCCATCAATTTTTTATCTCTGGTATCACATGTCCCCTGGCTTGAAATCTGTGCACTCAACTGCCTGCTTGACACAGTCTCGTTGATGTTTCATAGGCTCCTTAAACCCAAAATGTCTAAGACTGAACTGGGTCTCTTCAGGTCAGTCTCTCTTACGGAGTCCCACATTTGTTTGTGAAACTCGACAGTCTGAGAGTTCTTTGCTTTAACACCTTTCTTCAGCTCTCAAGTCTGCTCCATCACTAAGTCATGCCAACTTTATCTGCTAAATATGGTGGAATCTATCCAACTCTTTCCCTTTCAGGGGCATCCTGGGCCAAGCTCTCATTGTAACTCACCTGGAAAACTCAAATAGCTTTCTAATGATCTCTCCTCCTCTCTCACCTGTCTCTCATCCATCCCACATTGTGGAACAGTGATGAAAACATAAACTTGATCACATTGCTTTCTAATTAAAACCTTCCACTGCCCTTAGGAAAAAGCACAGTCAGTCTCTCTCTAGTGTGGCCTTCGAGGCTGGGAAGAACTGGTTCTGTCTGCCTTCCCATCCTCACGTGAGGTCACTCTTTCCTCCTGCTCCATTCTTCTTGATTCTTGAATGTGGCCTTTTTCTTCCCACCCAGTACCCTCTTTCTCCCATTCTCCCTGAGTGCTCCTCCCTTAAATGATGAAGATGATAATGATTATTTAGGGATAAGGACACTTAATGTAAGATCTGTCCTCCTAGCAAGATCTTAACTGTATGGTACAGTAGGTTAACTCTAGGCACAATGGCATACAGGCGATCTGTAGGACTTAGTCATTTTGTATAGCTGAAACTTTGTACCTTTTGTCTAACACGTCCCCATTTCCCTCTCCTCCTAGTCCCTGGCAGCCACCAGTCTACTCTCTGCTTCTGTGATTTGACCATTTTAGATTCTTTATGTGAGTGACATCATGTAGCTTTTGTTCATGTGGTCTGGCTTATATCACTCAGCATAATGCCTTCCAGGTTCATCCATGTTTTTGCACATGGCAGAATTTCCTTCTCTTTTTTTAAAGGCTGAATAATATTCCATTGTATGTAAGTATCACATTTTCTTTACCCATTCATCCATGGATGGCACTTACACTGTTTCCATGTCTTGGCTATTGTGAATAATGCTACAGTGGACATGGAAGTACAGGTATCTGTTCAGGATCTTGGTTTTACTTTCTTTGGATATATAACCAGAAGTGGGATTGTTGGATCATACGGTAGTTTTATTTTGAATTTTTTGAGAAATTTCCTGTTTTTCATAGTGTCTGTACCCATTTACATTCCCACTAATAGTATACAAGGGTTCTCATTTCTCTGCTTCCTGGCAAACACTTACCTTTTTTTCCTTGATCATAGATACCCTAACAGGTATGAGGTTATATAATATTGTGGTTTACTTCTACTTTTTATTTTTTATTGAAGTATAATTGACTTACAATGTTGTGTTAGTTTCAGGTGTACAACAAAGTGATTCAGTTACATATACATTTATATATTATTTTTTAGATTCTTTTCACATGTAAGTTATTACAACATATTGATTGTAATTCCCTGTGCCATACAGTAGGCCCTTGTTTATCTATATTATATGTAGTAGTGTGTTTACTGAGTGCATGAGCGATAGTCGTGCAGTCATGTTTAACTCTCTGCGACCCCATGGACTGTATGTAGCCCACCAGGCTCCTCTGTCCGTGGAATTCTCCAGGCAAGAATACTGGAGTGGGTTGCCATTTCCTCCTCCAGATGTATATGTTATTGCCAAATTCCTAATTTTTCTTTCCCCATGAGCTTTCCCCTTTGGTTTTCTCTGTGTTCGAGTCTCTTTCTGTTTTGTAACTAAGTTCATTTGTATAATTTTTCTTTTTTTTAGATTCCACATATAAGTGATATCATATGATATTTTTCTTTCTCTGTCTAACTTACTGGACTATTGTGTTAATATTCTTGGCTCCCTTGTTAAAAATCACATGACTGTATGTGTGTGAGTTTATTTCTGGGCTCTCTATTCTGCCCCATTGATCTACATGCCTGTGTTTATCATGCTGCTTTAATTTTTGTAGGTTGGTTATACATTTTGATACAGGAAGTGATTCTGATTTGTTCTTGCTAAAAATTGCTTTGGCTATTGGGAGTCTTCTGTGATTCCATAAGAATTTTAGCATTAATTTTTCTATTTCTATATAAAATGTCATTGGAATTTTGATAGCAATTTCATGAAATCTGTAAATTACTTTGGGTGCTATAGACATTTTGACAATATTAATTCTTCCAACTTGTGAACATATAATGTGTTTTTATATATTTATATCTACTGTAAATTTTTCATTAGTGTTTTATAGTTCTCAGTACAAGTCTTTCACACTATTATTGGTGAAATTTATTTTTAAGTATTTTATTTTCTGGTGCTATTATGAATAGTATTATTTTCTTTTTTGAATAGTTTATTCTTATTGTTTAGAGTATTTTTCTAATTTAAAGATACTCAGAATAAGCCAAGTGTCTTCCTCTTTATTTCACACATACCACAAATACAAGATTTTATAGTAATTATATTGCTTCTGAAAAAAATGAAATTCTTTATATGCATGAATTTAAATGGACTGAATCTCTAGATGAAACATTTAAAGAAAAATATGCTTTATTTTATATTATAAAATCCTTGGCCTTCCCACCATTTAGTAATCTTCATTTTGGCAAATCTTTGTTTTTAGCTTAATATGGAGTTGTTTTGAATTGTTTCTAAGTATCCTTATTATCTTTATTCTGATGATATTGTGTTTTTTAATGAAAGTCTGTGATTCCAAAGTCACTACTAAATTCAGTTCACTCGGATTTCTCCAAGGTGAAGATAATTATTAATGTCCTATTGGGCTCCGTTTTAAATAAGCACATTGTTATTAAAATAGGCCATCCTTATTTGTAACTAATGCCTCAATGAAGTCAATGGCATATATATGGCATATATTTCTTTTCAAAGAAGGCCATTTTAATTATATATATAAACTGGCCCTCTTTCAAAAATATTACTTGATTTATTAATATAATGTATAAGATTTCCACCTTATGAGTCAGACACCACTGCTTCTGCAACTGCTTGCAAGTAACAATGGAGCGTAAAGAGAAATGAGGCAACTGCACTTAATAATCGCTCAGAAAGAAATACTAACCGCAATAGTCCCTGCTGTTTCCCAGAACAATTAGCATATTTTGTTTATGAAGCACGTTAGTCAGAAGATACTTTTGAACTTTGAGCTTCAATAAAAAATGTTGTTTAACACTCTAAAGACTCTATAAAGTTTTGCTGTATTTGAATTTCTAAATCAAGGTGCTTTAGGCGTTGGAATTCATCATCTTTGGCTTTGAATTCAGATGCTCCTTCCTGCAAGCAAACTTCTGTAAGCCTCATTTTCTTTATCTTTAAAAGATATATAGTGATATCCATCACTTAGGGATATTCTAAGGATTAATTGATAAAGTTTTGTGATTTAGGATCTGCCAGGATTAGATATCTTTTCCCTCTGAAAGTAGCATTAATTATGTGTTTGGCTGTAAGAGAAAACCAGAGCAGTAGTGGCATAAGCAAGTTTTTAATTTTATTTTTGGTGTAAACAAGGTTTTTATTTAATTTTTTCTTTTTCCTGCTACCGAGGAAGTACAGAGATGTGCAGCCTAGAATACAACTGGGGACCTTGTGCCTAGCTTGCTGTCAGCCTTAGGGTCAGGCTCCTGTTCTTGCAGGCCCCAGAGGGCTACTGCATCTCAGGGCTATGTGTCTGTTGGTGACACATGAAGCTTTGTCTCTTATTTGGGACAGGGTTCTTCCCCAGGGACTTATGTCTGCATGTTTTTGGCCAGAACTGGGTCACCTCCAGTTACAAGAGAGTTTGGGGAATCAAAGACTTTTAGTTGGGTGGATTGCTACTCTGAGCAAATTTAGGATTCTTTTGTTACTAAAAGACAGGGGATGGCTACTGGATAGGCAACTCATGTGCCCTCCTCACTTTATTACTTTAGTTCTTTGAATCCAAATGAATTGGAAATTTGAAAATTTCCAGGTCAGGAAAATTCAGGGACTGAGGCCAGTGTCTTCCCTTCTGTCCCACATACCCATCACTGTGTTCTACACCAAGTGACGTGAGCAAACCTCCACCCGCCTCAGACAGCAGCCTAAAGGTGGGTCCCCAAACTGGCCTTGGTTCCTTGGTAATTGGACATTGAAGACAACAGAAGTGTTTTCCATGCCCTTTTGTCTGAGTCTTAGCAGGCTTGGGTCACCCTAAGAGGAAATGTTCCTTTTTTAACCTTCCCTGCATCAGAGATTATGGGTCTATGGAAACATATACTTAGATTCCATTCCAATTTTTCCTTTGACTTTTTGGATAGACACAAAGACAACTTGCTAAATAATGAAAAAAGTCATCGTTATTGATATTATGGGGATTCCCTGGTGGCTCAGTAGTAAGGAATCTGCCTGCCAATGCAGGAGACGTGGGTTCGATCCCTGGGTTGGGAAGATATCCTGGAGTAGGAAATGGCAACCCACTCCAGTATTCTTGCCTGGGAAATCCATGGACAGAGGAACCTGGTGGGTTACAGTCCATGGGGTTGCAAAAGAGTTGGACTTGACTTAGTGATTAAACAATAACAACAGTTGATACTATCAGTTTACATAAGAAGGTTAAAAATTATTACATGGTAAATATTGGGTCGGCCAAAAAGTTCACTTGAATTTTTCTACAATATCTTATAGAAGAACTTGAATGAACTTTTCAGCTAACCCAATACAAGAAAGTTTTCAGAAAGTGGGAACATTTCTGAGAATATCCCTTAATGCCAAATGAAAGACTTGGTATCATGCCTGGCACATAGTGAATGATGCCGCCATCATGGTTAAAACCTACAATTTGTCATAGGCAAGAATTGTTCATGTGTTTTCAATGACTAGACTTAAACTTCCTAGAATTTAAGTTGTTCTTTATAGTGTTTGCTTAAATTATGTGAAAAAAATATAGCTTCCAAGTGTCTTAATATATTACCTTTCAGTGTATATGTTAAATTCTATTTATAACCCAATTGATAAACTGTTTCTATTATTTACACAGATGTAAATGGCCTCACAGTTATGGCATTAAGAACTTAATTTAGCTATCAATTACTCCCTGATAACTCAGCTGGTGATAACTCAGTTGGTAAAGAATTCACCAATGCAGGAAACCCTGATTCGATTCCTGGGTTGGGAAGATCCCCTGGAGAGGGGTAGGCTACCCATTCCAGTATTCTTGGGCTTCCCTTGTGGCTCAGCTGGTAAAGAATCCACCTGCAATGTGGGAGACCTGGGTTCCATCCCTGAGTTGGGAAGATCCCCTGGAGAAGGGAAAGGCTACCCATTCCAGTATTCTGGCCTGGAGAATTCCATGGACCGTATAGTCCATGGGGTCACAAGGAGTTGGACACGACTGAGCAGCTTTCACTAATACTGAGAAGATACCATTTTTCATTTCTTTGCTAACCATCACCTGATAGGTTTGTTCACTTGATTCCTTCTCTTTTCCTCCCTTCTTGCTGGCTGTATTTCTATTTGTAATTCTTATGTACATTATTCAATACTATTAGCACTTTTAAAGGAAATCCATAGACCATTTTTTCCTAAGATAAATAAAGGTGTTTATGATAAACTTTAACTATGTTATGTATAAGCCTTGTAAATTCCTTGGGATTGAGACCAAGTTTCATAGTGGTAGGTGTTCAGCACACATGCTGTGTGTATGTGATGATGGATTTGCTCTGACTTGATGACCAGGTCTTATTATAATAAATGCTGTTTTAGAATTGGTCCCATCTTCGGCACTGTTGGGAGGATAAAGGTCTACAACAGAAGATTTTTACTTATACATTTTTAAAGGATACCATAAATTAGAATTGACTACAGATGGCCAGGTGCCACATTTAAGAATAAGATGGCCAGGGCATAAAAAAATTTAGTGCCGAACATTGCACATGCCAAATGCAGTCACAGCCAGGGGGAATTAAGGTTATGGAAGGTTCTGAGCAAAAAAAAAATAAATAAATGGGGTTGTTAAATATGAGCACCAGGTGGCACTGATTTCTGAGTTATTTGTACCACTTTCATCCTTATGTAAACCATAAAATAGGCTGGCAGCTGACCAGAACCTGCAGCTGTGTATGAGACTTCTTTGTACACGTACCAGAAAACAAAGACTTATGATAGGCTTAAAGTCTGTCACAGTTTTGTACGTGAAAGAAAAAATAAAATTGTTGATGTCATAGGCTTGGGGCCAAAAATGCTGACATATATCTACCTAGTTAGGACTATAAACATGGCATGCATTCCTAAGAACTGTCTTAAGTTTTTAAAATAGCCAGTTAACTTAACATTTTTATTTCTTGGAATGTAGTTGATTTACAATGTTTTGTTTGTTTCTGTTATACAGCAAAGTGAATCAGTTATATGTAAACATTTATCCACCTTTTTTTAGATTCTCATCCCGTATAAGTCGTTATAGAGTATTGAATAGAGTTCTCTGTGCTATTCAACAGGTTCTTATAAATTATCTATTCTCTACATAGTAATACGTCTATGTCAATCCCAATCTCCCAATTCACTCTTCCCTCTTTCCTCCCCGGTAGCCGTAGACTTGTTTTTTACGTCTGTGACTCAAGGCAGTTAGCTTTTAAAGCGATCATTCACTTTCACATTTCACATGCAGCTCTCTTTATTCTTTCCAGTGTCTGAACACTTCCTCTCTGCCTGTGACACTGACTGCAGTTTGGAAACCAAGAAGGCAGTCGTTGAGTGCATGGGCTCCTTCCAGGACGGGGTGGCCGAGAAGTGTGTGGATTATTTCCAGAGACTCCGACGTCCTACCCACGTGACTCCCAAGTCGTACCTCTCCTTTATTCAGGGCTATAAGTCCATATATGGAGAGAAGCGTGTGGAGGTGCAAACTCTGGCCACCAGGTAAGTGTGAGGGTCGTATATGAAGTTATTGTAAAGCAGCGGCTCTCAACTAGGGGCCAATTTGCTCCAAGGAGACATTTTGCAATGACTGGAGACATTTTTGTTTGTTAGAACTAGGGCGGGGGCATGGGGAGTGGTTGAGAGGTACTACTGGCATCAAGAGTCAGAGGTCAGGGATGTGCTAAATATCCTCAGAGTGCAGCGGACAATCCTCATCATGTAGAATTTTGTTGTTGCAGCTCCCTGGACTAGACTGCCAGGTTCCTCTGTCCATGGGACTTCCCAGGCAAGAAGACTGGATGGGTTGCCATTTCCTCCTCCAGAGATCTCCCTGACCGAGGAACTGAACTTACATCTCCTGCGTTGGCAGGCAGATTCTTTACCACTGAGCCATCTGGGAAGTCCTTGCAAAGAGTTTTCCAGCCTCGAAAACCATTAGTGCTGAGGTTGAGAAACCTTCCTTTCAAGTTTGTTCAAAGGATTATTCCATAGTTGCTAGTGGCTTTATTTTTGCCCAATAGGATTAAATATTGCCGAGTTTTCTTGTGGCCTACCAGTTTGTACAGTATTGGATGGTAGTAATAGAAACCTTGAGCTTGGAAAAAAGCTGAGAATACAGACATCCCCTCCCCCCTCCCCTCATCCCTTTGTTCCCACACGTTCTGAGTGTCTGGGATAGAAGAGTCTGCTTGATACATGTGTTCTCTGCAAAGCAAATACCTTACTTCACTGAAATTTGTTCCCAGCTCTGCTTTGCTGTTTTAGGAACACTTATGTCTTCTGCCTGAATACAGCCAAGAAGCAGCCAAGGTTGCTACCTAAGGGACCCCTGGATGAGTGGTTGGACTAAATGACTCTAAGAACCCCTGTTTTTAAGATCACATTATTTTAGAGTCAAACAGGCAGCTGATCCCTTCACGAGGCAGTTCGATGGCTTTAAATTTGTTTCTTTCCGTGATCACTAATCTTCCTTCTTTTAATATCATTGGTCTCATTAGAAAAAAAGAAGTTTTTTATTTCCCTTCCTCCATGATAGGGTTTCAAGAAATTGAAGTCTAAAGTTTATTTAGCATGTTGTCATTTAGCTAAAGTTTATTAAGCATGTTTCTTGCATGAGACAGATTCTCGACACTGTTATTTCTCATATCATGCAGTGTTCTTAGCAGACTCACTCTTTTCACATTTAGTCTATGAAGAACTGACATGTGACTTTAGTCTGAAGTCAAGCCTAGACATTTACTCTTTTTGTCAAGCCCTCTTGGGCTTGCTATTGTATATACAGTATTCTTCAAATATGACCATTACCATCTACATCAGTAGACCAGAACTTAGAAAATGTGGCCAAGAACCACACATGTTAACACTCCCCTCGCCTTGGATTTTTAATCTCAGAATGAATACTGGATTGGAAAAGCTAAAAGAAGCTTCGGAGTCTGTTGCAGCTCTGAGCAAAGAACTAGAAGTGAAAGAAAAGGAGCTCCAAGTGGCCAATGATAAAGCTGACACGGTGGGTAGACATTGACACATGAACCATATTTGTTTTGAATTCCCAATTCACAAATGTTAATGGTGTATGCTTCTTCTCTTAGTTGTAATCATGGAAGTGCAAATGATTTCTTTCCATTATAATACCATATATACACACCAGTGATGCTATGAATGAAATAGGTAACTGATGAGAACCTACGGTATAGCACAGGGAACTCAATGCTCTGTGATGACCTAGATGGGAAAGACATCCACAAAAGTAGGGATGTATTTATACATACAGCTGATTCACTTTGCTGTATAGTAGAAACTAACGCAACATTGAAAGCAACTATACTTCACTAAAAGTTTTAAAAAGTACCATACTCTTAATTCTATGTATGAAAAATTGTGTAAGTGGACAAAATCAACAAATCCAGGCAAAAATGTGCATTTTGAGCTGGGTGATTTTTGATGTACTTTTTTTTGGTTTTTATATTGAATTAGGTCTTAAAAGAAGTGACTATGAAAGCACAGGCTGCTGAAAAGGTCAAAGCTGAGGTCCAGAAGGTGAAGGACAAAGCCCAGGCCATTGTCGACAGCATCTCGAAGGATAAAGCCACTGCTGAGGAAAAACTGGAAGCAGCAAAGCCAGCATTAGAAGAAGCAGAAGCAGCCTTGCAGGTACATCTTTGTGATATAACAGATGTCATCTTCTAGGGCCTCGGAGGAAGATTAGGCAGAAAAGATGAATAAGAACGAAGAAATGTTCTACTGCTTCAGACCAAAGCTCTCTTTACTGCAATGATTTCAAGTGATATATTCTGCTTGGAGATGTTATTTGCTGTTTTTTTTTTAAGATATTGCACGTGGCACTTCACATATTATCTTCTCACTCACAAGTGATAGGCAGTGCCATATAATAGTGGTCTGGGTGCTAGCTTCTCATTTCAACTCTGTCACCAATAAGCTGTGTGACATTGGAAAAGTCACACAGAATTTCTAAAATATTTTTTTCACTCATTCATTGAGGATGTTGGAGTAGGTTAGTAAGATACAGCTTTCTCTGAGTGTACATATAAATTATCCAAACAAAGGACTACTGATCTAGTGCTGCGCATTCAGGTCAGGCTTTGACCAGGCTTCCAACACAATGCAGTTATGTGGCAATATCATAAATGATGAAATTAGAAACGAGGTTGGATTCTGGGAAAATATGTTGAATCTTTTGAAGTAGGCCATATTTTCGTGGGCTGGCCCTTTTTGAGACTGGTCTAATTTGAGATGTTTTGGACTCAAGTTAAGATTGTTTTTACTATTTCTTCCCTGGTGGTCCAGTTGTTAACACTCTGCACTTCCAATGCAGCAGGTGCAGTTCAATCCCTGGTCAGGGGAATAAAATCCATAGTCTACTCATCTATTCCCTATGTTATTGACTCTTGGCTTAGAAAGTGGCTGGAGAAATGGAACACTGCTGACCTGTCCATTGCTAATTCAAGTTATATAACCTCAATAGAACTTGCATCATTATGTGATGTAGTTACTATCTTTTTGCTACCTTAGCACACTTCCTGAAACACTTAAAATTTTTTTGATCCAAGTTAAGTCTTTAAGCTTTTTGAGTTTGTATATAACATATCATATAAAAGAATTTTTACTCTTTAGAGACAGTGAAGATGTTGCCTTCCTTTCTTATCTTTCCAAAGTTTCACACCATTCATACAGGTGATGTATCTTTCCTTACTGTTTCTTCATTCCTTCTTGCACCAGCTAAACTGTCCTCCTTAATCCATGAAGTCTTCCAGGGTCCTTAGCCTCTCAGATTGGTGGGTACCTCATCTTCCCCAGTCCCACTTTTAAAAGACCGATTTACGAAGTTATGATTGATATACAAAAGGCCACATGTATTTAGTATGTATAGCTTGGTGAGTTTGGGATGAGTGCACACCTGTGAAGCCACCACCACCTTCAAGGCCATAGACACATCCATCAACTCTCAAAGTTTCCTCCTGCTCCCTTTATTAGTGTTTTTCTTTAAAATTTTTATTTATTTATTTTTATTGGAGTATAGTTGCTTTACAGTTTGTGTTAGTTTCTATTTTACAGTAAAATGAATCAGCCATACGTTTACATATGTACCCTCCCTTTTGGACATCCTTCCCATTTAGGTCACCACAGAGCATTAAGCAGAGTTCCCTGTGCTATACAGTAGGTTCTCACCAGTTACCTGCTCATCAGTAGTGTATATGTGTCCATCCTAATCTCTCAATTCCTCCTACCCTTCCTTTCCCCCTTGGTATCCATATATTTGTTCTCTAGTTCTGTGTCTCTATTTCTGCTTTGCATATAAGATCATCTATACCGTTTTTTTTTTTTGATTCCACATATATGGATTAATATATGATTTTTATGTTTCTTTTTCTGACTTACTTCACTCTGTATGACACTCTGAAGGTCTATTCACATCTCTACAAATGACCCAGTTTCATTCTTTTTTATGGCTGATTAGTATTCCACTGTGTATGTGACCACATCTTCTTTATCCACTCCTCTGTTGATAGACATTTAGGTAGCTTCTGTGTCCTGGCTACTGCAAATAGTGCTGTTATGAACATTGGCATGCATGTATACAACTGAAGATCTACCCATTGACAAATTTCAAGTATACAGTAAAGTATTGATAACTGTGGGCACTGTGCTGTAGAGTAGATCTCTAGAATTTATCTTGCATAACTAAAACTTTGTACCCTTTCACCATCACCTTCCATTTCCTTCTTCCTCCATACCTTGGGAACCACCATTCTACTCTCTGCTTCAATGAGTTTATTTGAGATTTCACATATAAATGAGATCATGCAGTATTTGTCCTTCATGTTTAGCTTATTTCACTTGACAAAATATCTTCCAGGACCATCCATACTGGGTGTAAATTCTGCAAATAGCAGAATTTCCATTATTTAAGCCTGAATAATATTCCACTGGATGTAAATACCACATTTTCTTTATCCACTCATCCATCAATGGACATTTGCATTGCTTCCATGTCTTGGCCATTGTGAATAATACAGCAGTGAACATGAGTGCAGATATCTCTTTAAGATCCTGAGCATCATCCTTCCCCTGCTTGTTTTAAGACACTCTGGCACCACTGAGGGTCTTTGATCAATAGAGAGAAGACAAGGATAGTGTAAAGAAACTTCTAAACCTTTATTGGACTTGTGATACTAACAGCATTATAGGAACTGAGCATATGGTGTCTCAGTTCTTACAGGTCTGCATTTTCATAAGATTTCAAAAGCTTGACATTTCTTTTAATGTTATAAAATATTTTCCAATATCCTCCTAATTTAGTACTCTATACCACTAAAATATTCAGCAACGTCATCAATGCAGAAATGTCTGGGAATAGGGGTAAGGTGATGGGGTATGTGGGGGAGGTTTTCAATAATTTCCTTCATTGGTTCTGACTTCATCTTATTGCCTCCTTGTAAGTTTTGAAATCCGGTACTACCAATTCATACTAAGAAATTCCAGGTACACTCAAACTCTGTCTTGGCATCAACCATGCAAATCTACAAAACAAATAAAGTAACATCAAAGAATGTGTCTGTTCTTATCTCATTGCTAATCTGACCTGACTGTTTTGGATAATAACATATATATATATATATATACATACACATACATACATACATACATATATATATATATGCACACATATGTAATAGTCATTTTTTTTTGCCTGTAGAAAAAGAGGAATCTAATATTTAGCTGAAATAGGTTGAACTTCAGCTATACCCCCATCCCCAATTCATTTTACCTGGGTCCCCAACATAATTGAGTCTGAGTCTATTTGAGACTTCCCCCTTTTAAAGCTAAGGGAAAATAAACAAATAGGACCTAGTCAAACTTATAAGCTTTTGCACAGCAAAGGAAACCATAAACAAAATGAAGACAGCCCACAGACAGAAAATATTTGCAAATGATGAGACCAATAAAGGGTTAATTTTCAAAATATACAAACAACTCATACAACTCAATTAAAAAAAACCCAATCAAAAAGTGAGCACAAGATCTAAATAGAGGTTTCTCCAAAGAAGACATACAAATGGCCAACAGAAACATGAAAAGATGATCAACATTACTAATTATTAGAGAAATTCAAATCAAAACTGCAATGAGATATCACTTCACACCAGTCAGAGTGGCCATCAGCAAAAAGTCTTACAAATAATAAATGCTGGAGAGGGTGTGGAAAAAAAGGAGCCCTCCCCCACTGTCAGTGGAAATGTAAATTGGTACAGCTTCTGTGGAGAACAATATGAAGGTTCCTTAGCAATTAAAAACAGAGCTACCCTGTGATCCCACAGTCTCACTTCTGGGCATTATACGCAGAGAAAACTATAATTTGAAAATATATATGCATCTCAGTTTTCACTGAAGCACTATTTATAATAGCCAAGACATGGGAGTGACCTAAATGTCCATCAACAGATAAGTGGATAAAAAAGATGTGGTACATATATACAATGGAGCATTACTTAGCCATGAAAAGAATGAAATATGCTATTTTCAGCAACATGGATGGACCTATCTAGAGATTATCATATTAAGTGCAATATGTTGGAAAGAGAAAGACAAATACTGTATGGTATCACTTATATGTGGATACAAATGAGCTTATCTATGAAACAGAAACAGACGCAGAGAATAGACTCGTGGTTGCTAAAATGCTGGGCAAGGGCTGGATTGGGATTTAGGGTTAGAGGATGCAAACTGTTGTGTGTGTGTATATATATATGTATATATTTATAACTGAATCACTATACTATGCACCTGTAACTAATACAACATTATAAATCAACTATACTTTGATAAAGTAAATTTTAAAACAAACAAAAAGGTAAAGTGAAGTAAGCATGTCAGGCTCTTTTTTATCCACTTTAATTTGATCCTGCTTTCCCTATTGGCAGCTATTATGTTTCTCTCCTTTCTCTTTTATAGCCAAATATCTCAAATTAAGGTCTGTCTGCCATTTCCAGTTTTTTTTTTTTTTTTTAATCCACAAATTCTCCTTCACTTCCAGCTGTCTAGAATTCACAAATGCTAGTGTACTGAAACAACCCTTTTCAAAGTAGATAGTTACCTTTCTAATTACCAGGTTCAGTGGTTTTCTTTTCTTCTTATTTTCCCCGAAATTCTCAGAGAAAAGATCATTAGCTTTGATGTGAAGTTCATGGGGTTCCTTCCTTTGACAGGAGGGTTGCAAATGGAAATCAGACGGAAGGTCTGCAAAGCCTAGAAGGAATGAAGGTGCAGTATGTCCTAGAAATAGGACAGTATCAGATGCTTATTTTTGTTTCCAATGCTTATTCCATTGATAGGACTGATAGAACAATTATTATTGACCACAACAGGTCTATGTGACTGTTAAGTAATTCACTATATAAGAATCTTTGTATGGAGCAGCACTTTTCTAAGAACTTAGTGAAATTCCGATTGCTCGTGTTCCATCTTCTAAAGGTCAGTTTCCAGCTAAGAAACCTCTAATTATGCAACTGGCAGCCCCGAGGCTACCCGCTGGTGTCGGTCCACTGTGATGAGCTGTAAGAGAGAGAGGCAGATTCTTGACCTACATAACTAATGAGTAAAAAAAGCACTGCAAGTCCTGGAGTTTCCCTGGTTGAGAATCCCTGGAACCTGCTTTAGAGCTGATGATTCTTTTCCTTTCAGATTGCTTCCTTTTCTGACACTAAGTGGCTGTTAACAATTTTAGAGAAGTCACAGCTCCTTATCAGCTGGCCAACACGTCTCTCACTGTGTCTCTGCCTGTCACTTTGAATTGTAAAAATTTGAACTTGTGGGGATGTGTGTTTCTTTGGGATTAAATATGCTTCTAGCCCTCATGACTGCGGCGAACTTAAAAAATGCTTGTGTTCCTCTGTTGAAGTCCAGTTAAGTCTCCTACATACGAATGTTTAAGTTGCGAACTTTCAAAGATGCCAACGTGGGTTCGATCAGTGTCAGGCATGGGTGAAACCGAAGCTTGCCCTCCATCTCCTGTTGCTGACGATCCTTCAGCTCTACCATCTCCCACCCCTTCTCCCTCCTCTAGCCAGTGACACTTCTTGCCTGTTCACTCTATGCCAGCCCCTGTGTGCCAGTTGTTCTGTTACTACTATACCTTTCAAGGTACTGCGTACTGTAGGATTGAAAGTGGTTTGTATCTGTTTGCTTTTTATGTATTATTTGTGGGAAAAGTATTATAAACCTATTACAGTACAGTACTGTATCTCTGAGTGGGTTTGTTGGGTTCCCAGGCCAACTTTGTTGGACTTACGAACAAATTGGACTTACAGATGTGCTCACAATGGAACTTGTTCATATGTGGGGGACTTCCTGTAGCTGTCTTTGGAGAGTAAATGTTTGTGTCCGCTTTTCCTGTCTTGAGACTGGATGATGACCTCCTCTCCTCCCCAGACCATCAAGCCTTCCGACATCGCTACTGTCCGCACGCTAGGCCGACCCCCTCATCTCATCATGAGGATCATGGATTGTGTGCTGTTGCTGTTTCAGAGGAAGGTCAATGCGGTGAAAATTGACCTGGAAAAAAGCTGCACCATTCCTTCCTGGCAGGAATCTTTAAAACTGATGACAGCAGGAAACTTTCTACAGAATTTGCAGGTTGGTAGTTCAATAATGATGGGCTAAGACGGGACTCAGACTTCATTGGAGTGTCTGGATCCCTTAATAGAAAATGAATTTGCATGCATATTTTTTAACTTACTGTTTTCCATCTTTATTGGGGTATAATTGATAGATAAAAATGTGTTATAATGAAGATGTATGACTTAATGTTTTGATGTTTGTATTAATGCATTGTGAAATGCCTTCACCACAGTCCATCCATTTGTTGTTCAGTCACTCAGTCGTGTCTGACTCTTTGCGACCTCATGGACTGCAGCACACCAGGGTTCCCTGTCCTTCACTATCTCCTGGAGTTCGCTCAAACTCATGTCCATTGAGTTGATGATGCCATTCAATTATCTGATCCTCTGGGTTTAATCCATCCATTAAATCCAATAAATATCCAATTAAATATCTATCACCTCACATAGTTACCATTTTTCCTTTTCTTTTCTTTTTTTTTTTTTTTTTTGGTGGTGAGAACACCTAAGATCTAGTCTCCCAACTAATTTCAAATATATAATACAGTATTGTTAACTATATTCACATTGCTGTACATTAGGTCCCCAGGACCTTCTCATCTTGTGTAACTGACACTTTGACCCTTGACCTTTGACCAGCATCTTCCCCTTTCCTCCTTCCCCAGCCCCTAGCTACCACCATTCTACTCTCTGCTTCTGTGAGTCTGACTATTTTAAATGCCGCGTATAAGTGATAACAGGCAGTATTTGTCTTTCTCTGTCTGACTTCTTTCATTTAGTATATGCCCTCCAGGTCTGTCCATGTTGTTATGAATGGCAGAATTTCTTTCTTTTTTAAGTCTGAGTAATATTCTTCATATATATTTAAAATTTGTATTTAAGCATCTTCTCAGAGTAGAAGTTTCTCTTTCAAATATAAGACATTATAAGCATTAGAGCTTTAGAGTTTCTTTATATGTAAAATATGAGTAATTTGTCATCTGTATGTTTGCAAATATCTTCTTTCACTCTCTGCCTTAGATGTTCATTCTAGTAATTGTGTCTTTTGATAAGCAGATGTTCCTAAGTTTAGAATAGTCCAGCTTATCAATATTTTCCTTAATAGTGCTTTCTTTGTTCTGTTTAGTAAATCTTTGCTTTAGTAAATCTTTAGTAAATCTAGGGTAGAATAAATGCACCTGTCTTTTCTTCTAGGAGTTTTGTTGATTTATCTTTAATATTTAGATCTTGAGACAACTGACTGGGGATTCCCAATCCCCATTCATACCCCACACAGTAACTTCAGCACTGTCTTTCATTCAGTTTTTATTTTTAAAATTTTTTTCATAGTTTCTTTTTTAAATTTTACTTTATGTTGAAGGATAATTACTTTACAATGTTATGATGATTTCTGCCATACATCAACATGAATCAGCCATAGGTATACGTATATCTCCCCCTCCCTAATCTCCCTACCCCCTCCCTCCCCATCCTACCCCTCTAAGTTGTCCCAGAGCACCAGCTTTGGGTTCCCTGAGTCATTCAACAGATTACCACTGGCTATCTATGGTAATATATAGTTTCAGTGCTACTCTCTGAAATCATCCTACCTTCTCTCCCCCTACTGTGTTCAGAAGTCTGTTCTCTATGTCTGCATCTGTATTGCTGCCCTGTAAGTAGGTTCATTAGTACCATCTTTCTAGATTCCATATATATATGTTAATATGCAATGTTTGTCTTTCTTTTTCTGACTTACTTCACTTTGTATAATAGGCTCTAGGTTTGTCCACCTCATTAGAACTGACTCAAATGCATTCCTTTTTATAGCTGAGAAATATCCCATTGTGTACATGTACCACATTTATCTGTCAATGGTCATCTAGGCTGCTTCCATATCCTAGCTATTGTAAACAGTGCTGCAGTGAACACGGGTATGTGTCTTTTTCAGTTTCATTCAGTTTTTAATTCAATGTTGCCCATGTGGCTACTGTGGCCAGAGCATCTTGTGAGGCCTTTTACAGCAGCTATAAGAGGTAGCTTCTGAAACCAGTGGGTCATACAGACTTGTTTCAGATAATTGAAATATGAGCCTCTGAGATGTAAGTGCCCTGTGAAGGAATAGCATGCTATTTGGGTGGAGAGGGGGTGGCGATTAATCTGGTTATGAGTGTGTGGAAGGGCAGTGGTGGTAGGGGGTGGGGCTCAAAAAATACTCACCAAAAAATGTGGCAGTGGCATTGGACTTGCTTTATATACCTGCTGCAGAGCCAGTGTTCTTGGAAGCTATTTTGCTATTTGCCTTTTGTCAGCACCATCCTTCTATTGCTCCCAAATATTCTTCTGGCTTCACTATTTTTTTGAGTCTCACAAAAGAAACTTGCATTTTTAAGGAGGTCTGGGTAAAGGTGAGTTTTGCTCTGTGCTATGTATGTTCTGTGCAGACTTATTTCTCTGAATTATTTAGGTGCTACATTTCTTTCTACTTGGAAAACATTTAATTATCTTCATTGAGATGATCAAACACCATTTTTAAACGATCCAATTCCACCGATTGGTCAGTCTTTTCTTTTAATGCAAGAAGGCACTCAGTCCATTTCTGCTACTATTTTAAAATTTTATCCCTCCAGAAGAGAAAAATTCTCTCATTATCTTGATAGTTCAGTGATTAAAAATTAATTCGTCACCCTGAAGGCTTAATGTCCAACTGATTTTCATCACATTTCAGGTGAGTTTAATAGAACCTCTCTCTGAATGTGTTAAGCATTTGGTTGCTGCTAAATGCTAAATATTATATACATATATACATATACACACTATATATACACTTTAAATATTTGCTTTATTTGCAATACTAAAATATATGTATCATTTTATTTGCCTAATATCCTGAAATAACCATTTGTTTCGGTGGTATCATGAGCATAATGTGATTATGACTTAGTGGACAAAGGCATTTTAACTTTATTTCACTCCATTCTCCCACAGCAATTCCCGAAAGACACAATCAATGAAGAAGTGATAGAATTTTTGAATCCTTACTTCGAAATGGCAGACTACAACATCGAAACCGCTAAACGAGTGTGTGGGAATGTAGCGGGTCTTTGTTCCTGGACCAAGGCCATGGCTTCCTTCTTTTCTATAAACAGAGAGGTGTTGCCTCTGAAGGTAAGCCTCCTTGGTGGGGCTTCAGGATGTGTGCCAGCAGGGAGTCTCTGGGTCAACAGGGCTTGTCTTTCCTGCAGAAAAGGAGTCCCAGATGTTATTAGTCTCGTCTGTGGGAAGAGCTGGTGCTGGACTGGCCAAGCATAGGATGTTTCTTTCTTCTCTGTAATCCTCTTGCCATTGGAATTGTATGGGCCTTAAGCATGGACTCTACAAGGATGCTAAGTCCTCTGTGGGCTGCTGGACATTTTTCCCCCTACAATGTTAACTTGAGAAAAAGAAACACAGCAAACTATAGCATAGGACCCACCAGTAATGTTCAGGAGCTCTTGACAGGGAGTCCTATGAATGAGGCGGGGTGGACACAGTCACTGGTGGCTGAACTTGGCTTCAGAGGTGACTTAGTATTCCCTCTCCCTTTGACCCTCAGGAAAGAGACTGACTAGGATGCTTGATTTAATGTAGGCTGACAGTATGCCACTGTTTCTCTGTGAGTTATTGAATTTCTCAGCTTTATTGGTTCATGTCTCTGCATCATTCAGTGACAGTCTTTAGCAGATGGAGAGGCAAGTACATGTTTTGAGAATGAAATATTAATGCCTCAAAAATCACACCTAATGGTTTGGTTGATTATTTTGCTTTCATGTAAGTCTGATCTCTTTCAACCATCAACTAAAATCCTCTTATACTTACAAAGTACATGAGGAATTTAATAATCATGCTAAAATTAATCAAGAATAAAAAGAAGATAGGGAGAGAGTTTCAAGTTCCATTTTATTTTCTCATTATAACCATACCTGGAGCATTTAGTCAGTGGGGAGTCCCTGGGGGCCTTAGGGCAACTTAAAACAGAAGGGATTCATTTGGCTTGGAGATTTTTAGAGAAAATAGCTGAAGGTATCATGCTGTCAGGTATTATGGATTCAGGACCATTGAAGACTCCAGTTGGCTATTTTGATACTGATTGTACCACTGAATCCAGTGAAAAGTATAAGGCATCCTTTGCAAATTTTTCCAGTGGGTAAGCATCCATAAGTGTCTCCAAGGGAATTACAGTTGAATTCACAAGGGGGAGTTTTTATTTTGTTGTAATTACTTAAAATAAAATGAGTTGAAATCAGTACAAAATAATGGACATTCTAAACAAGGCTTATGCACGAACAACATCTCCATTACATTTGGTACAATTCAGGCTCCATCCAGTCCCAGGACAACGTAAGTCCTGCAGTAGGACGTGAAGGGAACAAAGGAGGGGGAACCTTCTAGTTGTACCTGGGACCTATGCTTCTCTTCTGAGACGCCTGTTCTGGGGGTGCCCCCCTGTGCTCTTAGTAGCATCCAGCATCTGGAAGTCTTCAGCTTGTCATGTCCCTCCTAACTGCCATTGTCATAAAAATAAACATAGTTACATAGATCCCACATGTTCATTGCATAGAGAGAAGTAGAAGATAGAGAAAATGTATTGGGCAGCTCTGCTCAGTATATGAAGAAATACAGACCAAAGGGTCTAACTTCATTGATTTCTGCAGGGGCGTCTCTTGTTTCCCAAGTGAAGAGGGGTTGAGAACACTCCTTTGACTCCAGTGGGGGCCTCTTCACCACTCATTAGTGAAGGAGATACTGAGGGACTCTTCTTTCATTTTACAATTCCTCTAGACAGGCCAAGTGACTTCCAATAGTGGGTAAACTTAAACAAATATTGATGACAAGAATTGCAATTTAAATTCTGTTCAGTTTCATTCTAATGAGATTCCTCCTTAGAAACTCTGTGAAAATTAATAAATATGAGTTCACATAAACAGAACATTGCAACAGTAGAGCCTTAAATATTGAACACAGATAATAACACTACTATTTATGGAGGGACTTCCCTGGTGATCCAGTGGTTAAGGCTTCGCCTTCCAATGCAGGAGTGTGGGTTCGATCCCTGCTCAGGGAGCAGAGGTCCCACATGCCTAGATGCCAGAAAACCAAAACAGAAAACAGAAGCCATGTTGTAACAAATTCAATGAAGACTTTAAAAATGGCCCATATCAAAAAAATCTTTTAAAAAGTGACATTAATATATTATTATCTATTAAACTCTTATTATAGACCAGGCCCCAGACTTGGGTTTTTACATGTTACCATATTTAATACACACACAACACACTCACATAAATCATAGCAGGTAGTTTTTCAATATCTTAATGGAGAAACTGAGGCTCATAGAGTTTAAGTAATCTTAGTAGAGTCCTACAGCTCCTAATGTGAGAAGTTGGATTTGAAAGATTCTTATACCCTTGGATTAGTATCTTTTGAGTACTTCATTAAAAAGATTATTTTTTTTTCTGAGGAAAGTCCTTGAAAATATCCAAAATTTGGGGGACTGTGATAGCTTGACATTAGCGGGTGACTTTATAGTAAGTTGACGGAGTGGTCTTGCTGTTCCTCTTTGTTTAAGTCATGGCAACAGATTCTTCTTAGAGCAGAGACAAAAAATATTCCAAGAGTCAGAATATCTGTAAACTATAATTTTTAAGCCATGCTTTTGCTGTCATTGGTTCTAGTCATGGAACTAGATATTCCTTTAAAGAATTATTTATTCTGCCAAAATTTGGGAACCTGGGGTTATCAGGTAAGAAAATAACTTATCTCAAAAGAATAATTTTAAGATAATCTTTTCTTCTGAAACCCCTCAGAAATAATATGATGCTGGTCGTGGGTTTCCCCATCAAAGTCAGTTTTACCATTTTAAAAACTTAAAAGAGAGAATTTTGATTTTAAATGTTTTTCAAAAGAATTTAAATTACTGTAAGCACAGGCTATTTTCTACATCGCCTTTTTCCAATATTGCTTTTTTCCCCCAATATTGCTTTTGATTATGTCTTTTGAGTCTAATTTAACTTCCTTAAAATAATTTTTTTTTAATTTGGTCACAGCTCAATCAATTATTTGCTTGAAAGCAAGTAATGTATGAGAATTGCAGGAATACTGTCAAGTCCATATCTACCCACAAAAACCTAGATCTTTATATTCAGTGATTAATTGTGTTTCATTCTTTGTCTTATTTTAACATCTTCATTAACAGTGATGAGCTCGCCTTGGCAGATGGTTCTAAATATTCACCTTTTCCCCTACAACTCAATATTAAAATAATCTGCAGTTTTCCTTTAGGCATTTACTATTACAGTGTTCGAATTTAGGGATTGGCAAACTATGGTCTGCAGGCCAAATCTAACCTACCACCTATATTTGTACAACTTGTAGAATTTTAAATTAAGTACTTAAACAAAAGTCTTGATTTTGCCTCTTGGCCCCCAAAGCCAAAAATATTTACTATCTGGAATTTTATGAAAAAGTTTGCTGACTTTCTCTTATGATTTATAATCATCTGCATACAAACATGTCAAGTTCACATGAAGACTTGGCCTTGATGATGTAATTTGAGAAGGCTCCCAAAGAACAAAGAAAAGGTGTAGCATGGACTTCCCTGAGTTCTCAGATCCGATGTGCTGGACATCTGGGTTGCTGCCTGTCACTTCACGCTGTGTGTGTCCTATGCAGGCCAACCTGGTGGTGCAGGAGAACCGCTACGTGATGGCCATGCAGGATCTGCAGAAGGCCCAGGCCGAGCTGGATGACAAACAAGCCGAGCTGGATGTGGTGCAGGCTGAGTACGAGCAGGCCATGACCGAAAAGCAGGTCACTGTCCTCTGACACTGTGGTCTGCCCTTCATTACTTTCCTGCTTTCTTTCTCTAAGGGTTTGATTTCCAGCAGGGATTCATTTAATTGATGCACAGTGCATACATACATACATACACACAGCACATGCGCCCTCATTAAACCCTGGAGTTTGTTTCTAGCAGACACTGAGGAACTTCAGTGTCAGGATATTCAGCCAAAACAGGTCACTGCTGGAACATGGATGTTCTGAGTTTTCTTGTAAATTGTGATGAAAGCAGCATCTTGTGCAGCATTTTTGATATGTTTATCAAATCATATCCTCCCACTTTGTCTCATTTAAGCTTTAAACAATCTCTCAAGGTAGGCAGGGTAGATATTTTTTTTTATTCTCATTTCAAAGAAAGGAGCTTAGGGGACTTCCCTGGTGGTCCAGAGGTTAAGACTTTGTACTTCCAATACAAAGAGAGTGGGTTCAATCCCTGGTCAGGGAGCTAAGATTCTGCATGGTGCGACAAAAAAAATTAAAACAAAATGAAAATTAAAAAAACACTAAGGAAAGAACTTAGGTCCAGAAAGGACAAGAGAATGGCTGTTGATCTTGGGTCCTCGGGCTGGATTAGACCTTGATCTTCTGATGTCTTCTTGGGCCTCTCTACTGGACCAACCTGACCACATGGCTGTGTCCCAGTCACAGAGACCACCCACAGCCTTCTCAACCTCTGCATGTTTTGCAACTTCAGCACTTCAAAATCAAGGTTTGTATATTTCCTCTCCACTGAGCAGCAAGTTCTTTCATTGATTTATACCTACTCCAGATCCACTGGGACTTCCTTCGTTCTGGAAATCAAGGCAGATGTAACATAAACCTAATGTAGCTTAAGCTTTATTTTCCCTACTTGCACAGGCCCCATAAATGCAGTTTACTGGGAGCCATGGAGAGTTCTGTGGGGAGAGTATTTTATTCAGATAAAATACCTGGAGATCCCAGGAGAAAGGGACCCGAATTCTTCACCATCAGGACTCTGTAGTGCTTTTTCCTTGCTGATGCTCATTACATGTTCACTTGGCTGTTTTGTATTTGCAAAAATTCTTTAATGATTTTCTTAAAGTGGTCCCCAGATTATGTAAGCATCTGTCCTCACAAAATCTCTATCTGCCTCCGATAAAGCCTACATTTGGAAAACAAGATCTAGATTCTCTTTGTGCTTTCCTTGATGATTTATTTTAGAACCTCTGCTGCTTCTCAGCTGTCACTTGGCTGGATTGAGATTCCTGCTCTGGAGGGTCCCAGTGAGCGAATTTAGATAAACATCAGCTGCACAATATGCAAGATGCATGGTATTCTCTGTTAAAGATAAGTCTCCTGAAAGCAGAATAAGAGCTTTATAGAAATCTTGGAGAAGTAATTATGTATCATCATTTGGATTTGTTACTTATGGTCTATGGAATTCACTTATAATATCAAGAGAAAATTCACTTTGCAGTTTGCAAGTCTACCTTAGAAACAACTATGAGGAAGGCCTTTTAATTTCTACCATTTGGACACTCACATTGGGAAGGGCTGCTACCTATAGTAAAAATATTTTATAGCCTCATTTTATTACCTTTCAGTTTTAACAATTTTGCATTTGTTCACTCAAGCTCTTTTGTTTTCGAGTATCTACTATTTGTTAGGTAAGCAATTATAAGGACCACATAAGTACAGTTACTGTAAAGGTATGGCTCTAACTTAAAAAATTGAATTTCAACAAATGTCATGTGTTTTTCATGAAGAAAACAAAATCTGGCTGTGTGCTGGTCTGCCCACATCAGGTTGGCGTGAAGTTGACCTTTAGTCGCGGTATTGTTGCTTCTTGCTCCATGGGGCTCCGTGAGAGTCCCGGGTTACAGACGGCAGGGAGGCAGGGGAGGGTTTCAAGTCTGGGTTCATGGTCATGACTGGTGACCTCCTTACCCAGGTGTGCAGTAGGACAGAGGAGCCTGGAGGGCTACAGTCCAGGGATTGCAAACAGCTGGACACACTGAGTGACTAAACAACAACAAGAAAACAATGATGTCGTGTGATACTTCCAGCTGACATCTTTCTTTTTGAGGAGATACAAACAGATATGGATGGTGTCCAGGTGTGGCTGCGCCTCTGAGCTGGGCTTTTGGACTTTCTGCATTAACTCTCGTGGGAAGGAAAACTGAGCAGGCTAGAACAAACTGGAACAAGTATCTTCTTTCTGAGAAACACTGTGTAATGCTATTATTACACAAGCGATTTGTGTTTCTTTATAGAAAATACACATAGGTAACCCTGGCGATAAAGCCTAAAAATATTTTGCTCTTTATCATTTCGTATCTACACATATGCCTGATTTACATATATTTTAAATCCATGTAAAAAAACTGTAACAGATCATTCAGTACATACTGCTTTATAAATGCAATTTAACTAATGGTTATTTTTCATAATTATTATATTTTAATGGCTTCAGAGTATTCTTATGCATAATATACCATAATGTATGTAAATAATCCTCTGTTGTTAGAAATTTAGCATATGTGTATGCCATATATATTACATAAATACATGTAAATATTACATGAACTCCCAGTGGTTTGTCATATAGCTAAATCTTTATCCATATCCATTGTTGTTTCATAAGTATACATTTTTACAGGTAGAATTAACAGCTGTCTCTTCAATATTGAGAAACTGAACCATTTGCTTTTTTTTACCCTTAAAAATTTTTTAAAAAAAATTTGTATAGTGTGGTGTTAGTTTCTGCCATTCAGCGTTGCAAATCAGCTGTGATTACATATACTGAGTCATTTGTTTTTAAGAACAAAGCTCTGAGTGGCAACAGTGTGTGACTGTTGCTCTTTAGTCACTTCAGTCGTGTCTGACTCTCTGTGACCCCGTGGACTGTAGCCCACCAGGCTCCTCTGTCCATAGGATTTCCTAGGCAGGAATACTAGAGTGGGGTGCCATTTCCTTCTCCAGGGGATCATCCAGACCCAGGGATCGAACCCATGTCTTCTGTTTGGCAGGCAGACTCTTTACCACTCAGCCCCCTGGGAAGCCCAACTGTGTATGGAAGTCTAGTTAGAGGTCTCTTATTGACACAAGAGCAACGGGTAGGGGCCTGTTGAGTTGATGCGGCTGGAATTTGTGAATGAACTTCACAACTCCACAACCTGAAGAAAATCTAGAGTTTCACCTGAAATTAAAGGAGATATGGAGTTAGACAAAGCAATAATGATGCTGGAACTTTAATAGGAGAAACATCATTTCTTATTTTAAAGTAGGTTTATGCATGTCTTTACATTTTATTGTGTTCTGTGATATTAGCATGTATGCTTATATTTTATTTGTAATTTTTGATAGGAAAATCATCAATGTGCAAATTTTCACTATATCTCAGTTGAAGGAGTTAGACAAAGCAATAATGATGCTGGAACTTTAATAGGAGAAACATCATTTCTTATTTTAAAGTAGGTTTATGCATGTCTTTACATTTTATTGTGTTCTGTGATATTAGCATGTATGCTTATATTTTATTTGTAATTTTTGATAGGAAAATCTTCAATGATGCAAATTTTCACTATATCTCAGTTGATGAAAATCTGGGGAGGGTCTGCCTGTCGGCTCAGGACACCTCCTGAGGAATCTCTCTATGTTCCATAGAAGGGCTTAAGACACAGGCGGGACTGACCCAGACATATAGAAATGGAAGTTAATGCTTCCTGTGAAATAAAAGGCACACGTTTCTCACAAAGGCAAATAACATATATTTTAGAATTATGTTTTTGAGCTGCAGGCTCTATTTTTCTGAAATAAGGCTTTCTTCTGGTTTAGACCTTGCTTGAAGATGCAGAGAGGTGCAGACATAAGATGCAGGCTGCTTCTGCACTGATCGGAGGCTTGGCAGGAGAAAAGGAAAGGTGGACAGAGCAAAGTAAAGAGTTTGCTGCACAAACTAAAAGACTTGTAGGTACGTAAATCCCTTTATTGGCTTCCCAAGGGCTCAGTGGTAAAGAATCCACCTGCGATGCAGGAGACTCAGGTTTGATCCCTGGGTTGGGAAGATCCTCTCGAGGACAACCCACTCCAGTATTCTTGCCTAGAGAATTCCATGGGCAAAGGATCCTGGCAGGCTACAGTCTATGGGTTGCAAAGAGTCAGACAGGACTGAGTGACTGAACACACACACACAAATCCCTTTGTTAATGAGATTATGTGTTGACTGTGATAGGGAGTGAGCAATTTTAAGCTTTAATCAAGATATACATCAACATTCCATTACTTCAAATTCCTGTGTGTGTGTGTGTGTGCCCAGCTGTTTCAAAAGGATGAATATTGGTCTGGCATTTAGGCAACCCTTATTAGATAATGTAGTGTCAGTTGCTCAATCATGTCTGACTCTTATTATCAGGTCATTTTTGAAATCTCCTGTGAGTGGATGACCATATAGATCAAGGTCATTTAGAATGGAGGCTGTGTTTTCTGAGGTCAGAAGTCATCCTATCATAACCAGTAAGATCAACATAATCCAATGCTTGACTATCAGCAGTTATTACTTGTGGGTCACGTGGACTCTTTTCACAGTGAACTGAACTACTGCTTATTCACAAGACACAGCAACTTGTGGTTACAATTGGGTTTCTGAAATTAAATTCAAAAGAATGATTGTCTTTTTTTTTTTGCCACTTCTTACATTCTGCAGAATTACTAGGCTGTTCATAAAGTGTTTCAGTGGTGTTTTGCTTTTTGTTTTAGGGGATGTGTTGTTGGCTACAGCTTTTCTATCTTATTCTGGTCCCTTTAATCAAGAATTTCGCAATCTGCTGTTAAATGACTGGCAGAAAGAAATGAAAGCCCGGGAAATTCCATTTGGAGACAATCTAAACCTCAATGAGATGTTGATTGATGCTCCTACCATTAGTGAGTGGAACCTCCAAGGCCTGCCCAATGATGACCTGTCCATTCAGAATGGAATTATTGTCACAAAAGCATCTCGCTATCCTTTGCTAATTGACCCACAGACTCAAGGCAAGATCTGGATTAAAAATAAAGAAAACCAGAATGAACTCCAGGTAATCTTCATCTGAATATATATGGGCTTCCCTGGTGGCTCAGAATGTAAAGAATCTGCCTTCAGTGCAGGAGACCCAGATCTATCTCTGGGTTGGAAAGATCCCCTGCCGGAGGGCAGGGCAACCCACTCCAGCATTCTTGCCTGGAGAATCCCATGGACAGAGGAGCCTGGCGGGCTACAGTCCACTGAGTCACAAGAGTCGGGCACATTTGCTCCAGATCAACAATATCTGAGAAGAAATATTTCATATTTAAAAATAATTTTGTTATTAATATTTAGATATTAATATTTATAAGCAATGCCTAAAATTGCATTATTTGGATTCTTATTTATCTCTCCTAATGCTGTCCATCAAAGGGGTCAGACTCCCTTCTATTAGGGCCTAAGGCTCTCCCTGATAAACAGCAGGGCAGAGCTATGTCACACTAGGTGTGCCGCAAATAAAGACACTTTATAGTTATTCCCTGAATATTTGTCACAAATGTGGTGGTGGGGGAAAGGCAGTATTGTCACACACAGTGTTCACCTGCTTCCTAGTGAAAGGAAAGGATGTGGTCAAATGCTCTGGAGATTCTTTAGAAAACTGAAAATAGAGCTACCATCTGATCCTACAGTCCCACTCCTGGGCATATATCTGGGGAAAACCATAATCAAAAAGATGCATGCATTCCAGTGTTCATAGCAGCACTATTTACAATAGCCCAGACATGGCAGCAACCTAAATGTCCATTGACGAAGGAATGGATAAAGAAGATAACGGTATATTTGTACAATGGAATATTACTCAGCCATACAAAAGAATGAAATAGTATCATTCACAGCAACAGGGATGGACCTAGAGATTGTCATACAGAGTGAAGTAAGATAGACAAAGACAAATAGTATATCACTTATATGTATTAGTAGAATCTAAAAAAATGATATAAACAAACTTATATACAAAACATAAATAGAGCCACAGACATAGAAAACAAACTTATGGTCACCAAAGGGGAAAGGTGATGGAGGAGGAATAAATGAGGAGGTTAGGATTAACATAAACACACTACTACTATATATAAAATAGATAACCAACAAGGACCTACTGTATAGCACAGGGAACTTTTTCTATGTTTTGTAATAGTCTGAAAAAAATATTTACAACCGAATCACTTTGCTGTGCATCTGAAACTAACACAATATTGTAAGTCAACTCTTAGTGCCTTTGAGTGCCGTGAGCTCATTGTGTCCGACTCTTTAAGACCTCATGGACTGTAGCCCACCAGGCTCTTCTGTCCGTGGAATTTTCCAGGCAAGAATGCTGGCGTGGTTTGCCATTTCCTCCTCCAGGGGATCTTCTCAACCCAGGGATTGAAGTTGTGTCTCCTGTGTCTCCTGCATTGCAGGCAGATTCTTTACCCCGGAGCCCCTTCAATTAAGTGAATAAAAATAAGGAAATGATGATTTGCTAAGGTGAAGATTGGAAACTGTGTAGAGCAACATTTTGATCTTGTTTCTAGATCACATCTCTAAATCACAAGTACTTCAGAAACCACCTGGAGGACAGTCTTTCTCTTGGAAGACCCTTGCTTATCGAAGATGTTGGGGAGGAACTAGATCCAGCCCTGGATAATGTTTTGGAGAGAAACTTCATTAAGACTGGGTCTACCTTTAAGGTGGGTTAAACCTGCAGATGACAGTGTGCAGAGCAATTGCCAGGAGGCCAGGTCAATGTGACATAGGTAACAGTTTCTCATTAAACATCAACTCAGATTCAAGTCTGGGGCAGGAGGCATTTGCTCTTGTCTTCTGCACTTACTGAGTTGGGTAACCTTTTTAGGAACATCTGCTTCACTTGTATCATGAAGCCTGGCTCCATTCTGATGTTAGACTTTGCACGGCTTTCAAGCCCCATCATGCCCCTCCCCTGCCACCCCAAATCTGGGCAAGCTGATGAGAAAGTGTGGCTCGGCTCTCTCTTGGTGAAAGTGAAAGTCACTGTTTTCTGACTATACAGTCCATGGAATCTATATAGTCCGTGGAATTCTCCAGGCCAGACTACTGGAGTGGGTAGCCTTTCTCTTCTCCAGGGGATCTTCCCAACCCAGGGACTGAACCCAGGTCTCCCACATTGAAGGCGAATTCTTCACCAGCTGAGTCACAGTGGGAAATCCAAACCATGCAACTTCCTGTTCGTGACCATATGTGGGAAGCCACATCCTAGTCACATCCTGTAATCTCTATGGAACCCTATAACACCTGCCCCTCTCTGCTCTCTCAAGTGATTTTACTTTGGACCTGTTTGGCAGCCTACCCTGAATCTCCAGAAATTCTCATGTGAATAATAAACCTTTTCATATCTTTTGGTACATGACTGATATCATCCGTCTTGACTTCTGAACCAGATTTTGGGTGGGGAATCCATCTCACTTCTGCAGTGTGATCACAACAATTCTGGTGATAAATTCTATGTGCATGTGTGCTCAGTCACTTCAGTCTTGTCTGACTCTTTGTGACCCCGTGGACTGTAGCCTGTCAGGCTCCTCTGTCCATGGGATTCTCCAGGCAAGAATACTGGAGTGGGTTGCCATGCCCTCCTCCAGGAGATCTTCCCGACCCAAGGATCGAACCACGTGACCTGTGGCTCCTGCATGGCAGACAGATTCTTTACTGCTGAGCCACCAAGGAAGTGCAATAAATTCAATATTTATTTGTTTATAGTTTTATTGATTTGTTTACTTTTGGCTGTACTGGATCTTCGTTGCTTCCTAGTTTTGTCTCATTGCGGTGAGTGGGGGCTACTCTTTAGTTGCGGTGCATGGACTTCTCCTTGCAGGGCCTTCTCTTGTTGCAGAGCACGGGCTCTAGGGTGCTCAGGCTATAGTAGTTGTGACTCATGGGCTTCGCAGCTGCAGTTCTCAGGCTCCAGACACAGGCGCTATAGTTGTGGCACATGGACTTAGTTACTCCTTGGCATGTGGGATCTTCCTGGATCAGAGATCCAACCTGTGTCTCCAGCATTGGCAGGTGGGTTCTTTACCACTGAGCCATCAGGGAAGCCCCAAATTCTATTTTTGTTGGATGATGTATGTTGGATGGCATCACTAACTCAGTGGACGTGAGTTTGAGCAGGATCCAGGAGATGGTGAAGGACAGGAAGGCCTGGCATGCTGTAGTCCATGGGGTCACAAAGAGTTGGACATGACTGAATGACTGAACAACAACCAACAAATATTGAATTAACTTCCTTTCCTCCCTCCTTCCCTTCTTCCATCCCTCCTTCCCTCTCTTTCTCCCTTCCTCCTTCCTCTCTTACTTTAGTCCTTCTTTCTTTTCATACTAGTGGCCTGAAGCCCTGTGAATGCCTAATGAACATTTCTTTTAAAGTATACACATGATCTCTAGGTATATAGTGGTTTAAAGTGATACTAGATCTTAAGGAAAAAACACACAGTAAGGTGTATCTATGTTTGTTTTTTTTTTTTACTTTTAACTTTCTTTTTATAACAAAGGTGAAAGTCGGTGACAAAGAGATAGATGTGATGGATGGCTTCAGACTCTACATCACCACCAAGCTGCCCAATCCAGCCTACACCCCTGAAATAAGTGCTCGGACCTCTATCATCGACTTCACAGTCACTATGAAAGGTCTAGAAGACCAGTTACTGGGGAGAGTCATTCTCACAGAGAAGCAGGTAAGTAAAGTGTGCAGCAAAGTAAAGTATGCAGCCCCACCCGGGCTTACCTGGGGGCTCAGATGGTAAAGAGTCTGCCTGCAATGTGGGAAATCTGGGTTCGATCCCTGGGTTGGGAAGATCCCCTGGAGGAAGGCATGGTAACTCACTCCAGTATTCTTGCCTGGAGAATCCCCATGGACAAGAGGAGCCTGGCGGGCTATAGTCCGTGGGGTCACAAAGAGTCAGACATGACTGAACAACTAAACACAGCACAAAGTATGGCCCTCCCCCTTTCTGCATCACATTGTGGTTCTCTCATTGACAAAAATAAGATGATGAACACTGTGATGGGATTGAATCCCCCCTTTTAATTCCCGTGTTTCTTCCATTATTCATTTTTAAGTGTCTTTAATAACAGCTAACCAATTATCTACCCAGTACACTGCATCTGTATCACATAAATAATATATATCATCAATTGATTTTATATAGGGGAATGATGTAACTATGAGAATATCTGTCTCATTTTCAGCATCACGGTTATGGTTTTATACTCCTTAAATTTTCTGAAGTTTGTTCTATTCCTAGTTCTAGTCACCCATTGAATTTTAGCTTTCTAGTATGTCTGGGGTTTCCCAGGTGGCACAGTGGTAAAGGATCCACCTGCTAACGCAGGACATGCAGGGGATACAGGTTCGATCCCTGGATCAGAAAGATCCCCTGGAGGAGGAAATGGCAACCCACTCCAATATTCTTGCCTGGAGAATCCCACGGACAGAGATCCCCCTTTCTGCATCACATTGTGGTTCTCTCATTGACAAAAATAAGATGATGAACACTGTGATGGGATTGAATGCCCCCTTTTAATTCCCATGTTTCTTCCATTATTCATTTTCAAGTGTCTTTAATAACAGCTAACCAATTATCTACCCGGTACACTGCATCTGTATCACATAAATAATATATATATATCATCAATTGATTTTATATAGGGGAATGATGTAACTATGAGAATATCTGTCTCATTTTCAGCATCACGGTTCTGGTTTTATACTCCTTAAATTTTCTGAAGTTTGTTCTATTCCTATTTCTAGTCACCCGTTGAATTTTAGCTTTCTAGTATGTCTGGGGTTTCCCAGGTGGCACAGTGGTAAAGGATCCACCTGCTAACGCAGGAGATGCAGGGGATACAGGTTCGATCCCTGGGTCAGGAAGATCCCCTGGAGGAGGAAATGGCAACCCACTCCAGTATTCTTGCCTGGAGAATCCCACGGACAGAGGTGTCTCAAGGGCTTGCAAAGAATCAGACACGACTGACCACACATACATACATGCACACACACAGTATACATCCAGGTTTTTATTTCATTTGATTCATTATTATGCTTTTGGAATATAAAATTGGAACATTGTACCCAGATAGCACAGCATTGCCAATTCTTATTTGTTATCCAAGAGTGCTTGCTGTAGCTTGCAAGAAGACAAGTTTGTTACCCTAGATTTCACTGTACACCTTCTGAAGGCTACTGGCTTCACTACGCTCCAAGCATAATTCTGTGTCTGTTTTCTCTTGATGAGAAATGGCCAATAATTTATAAACTTCCTTGTTCTGAATCAGCATTTTCTCCAGGGAACTTTTGAGTTGTAAGGAAAGAAATCTGGAGGGTTTTAATGGGACTCTGTCAATGAAGCTGTGTGAACGCTGAAAGTTTCTATTGATTTTCTTCTTGAGTTAGATAGCCGTGAGGAGTTCAGTTTATTTTATGCCCCCTTCCACACTGACCTAAAGATTTATTTAGGTTAAGACTACTGGCAAAATCTTTGGAATCTACCCCTCCTTTTCTTTATTACCTCTTCTCTATGTCTGACCACGTGTCCTCTTCTGAGCCCTTCCTTGTACCTGTATTTCTCTCTCTCCTTCCCTTCTTCTCTTTTTATGAATCTTCTCTATTTATTTAAAAAAACCCTGGTGGCTCAGACAGTAAGGAATCTGCCTTCAACACAGGAGACCCAGGTTCGATCCCTGGGTTGGGAAGATCCCCTGGAGTAGGAAATAGCAACCCACTCCAGTATTCTTGCCTGGGAAGTCCATGGACAGAGGAGTCTGGTTGGCCAGAGTCAAATGTGGTTGTGAAGAATCAGATGCGACTGAGTGACTTAACACTTTGACTTTCACTTTTCTGTTTATTTTTAATTTATGGTACACAGATCATAGAGTTATGTAGTTGGAAGTTGCATTAAGAGGGTTTAATCCAGTTTCATCAATTCACATGGTTGGCGACCTCCATGTGGTAGGAACTGATGCTAGAATTCCTACCACAGACTGGAGTAACAGCCTTCCAAATTTGTACTTGTTTATTTTTGGAGTCTCAGTCGAGATGGCTGAAGAACTTTAGTGATGATGCAGCCCCACTTCAGAAAGGACTAGGATTCTTAATCAACAACAAGGCCTGTGGAGCCTGGGCATCCTTGAGGGTCTTCAGTTTAATATCCATTGCCTGTATCTGTCTGTGTGTCTGTCTATCTATCTACTTACCTACCTACCTCACTTCCTTCCTTTCTCCCATTGTTTCTTATTTCGGTTCTTTCTTCCTTCCTTTAATTTTATTGGAGTATAGTTGCTTTACAGGCTTCCCTGGTGGCTCAGTGGTAAAGAATCCATCTGTCCATGCAGGAGATGCGGGTTCAATCCCTGGGTCAGGAAGATGCCCTGGAGGAGGAAATGGCAACCAAGTCCATGGGGTTTATTTATAAAGAGTCCGATATGACTTAGCAACTAAATAGCACAAGAGTTGCTCTACAGTATAGGTTTGGCTATACAGCAAAGTGAATTGGCTATGCATATGCACATATATATACATGGACTTCCCAGGTAGCACAGTGGTGAAGACTCTGCCTGCCAGTGCAGGAGATGCAAGAGATGTGGGTCCAATCCTTGAGTCAGGGAAGATCCTCTGGAGTAGGAAATGGTAACCCACTTTAGTATTCTTGCTGCAAAATTCCATGGACAGAGAAGCCTGGTGGGCTACAGTCGAAAAGAGTTGGACATGACTGAGAAGCTGAGTGCACATATACATAAACCTATACACGTATCCCTGCTTTTCTGGATTCCCGTCCCAGTCAGGTCTCCACGGAGCGCTGAATGGGGTCCCCTGTGCCCTACAGTAGGTTCTCGTTAGTTGTCTGTTTTATACACAGGCTCTACTTTTACCTGTGGTGTTGGCTTCAGGGAGATAAGGGCCTTTGATGGCACTTTGAATAATATCCTTGTCCTCAACTTTCTCTCTGTTTAGCTGAGATGAAGGCGGTCTCCTTGGGACAAAAAAAATAATTTGGTTTCCCAGATTTTTAGTTGCAACAAAACAACTCCAGGACTGAGTTGTTAATTGTCGCAGCAGAGGTTTAAAATGAAATAAGGAGCGCTTTAAGTTCATTGGAAGACCTTGAACAGTCTTGGAAGGCCAGTAAGGATCCCAGGCTGGACTTGGCCTTACTTCCTGGGAAAGCTGAGTATTTTGACACTTCATTCCCTTACCATCATCTCATTATCAGAGTTCATTCCAGGCTCAGGGTAAATGATTCTTATAGAAGTGTGGTCAGGGCAATATGACACTCTTTCTGTTATAATAACAGAGGGCCATCTTACCCTGAACCACATTACAATACAACATGTAAATCTCTATTTTCTTTTCTCTGAAGCAAAGTATCATGCAAGAAGTGAGCTTCATTGTTGTTATTGTTCAGTGGCTCAGTCATGTCTAAATCTTTGTGACCCTGTGGACTGCAGCACCCAGGCTTCCCTGTCCTTCACTAACTCCTGGAGTCTCCTCAAACTCATAATCCATTGACTCAGTGATGCCATCCAACCATCTCATCCTCTGTTGCCCCCTTCCCCTCTTGCTGTCAACCTTTCCCAGCATCACAGTGTTTTCCAATGGGCCGTCTCTCTGCATCAGTTGGCCAAAGTATTGGAGCTTCAGCATCAGTCCTTCCAATGAATATTCGTGGTTGATTTCCTTTAGATCGACTGGTTTGATCTCCTTGCAGTCCAAGGGACTCTCAAGAGTCTTCTACAGCACCACAGTTTGAAAGCATCAGTTCTTCGGCTCTGAGTTGCTGGACTTAATGGTGCTGGATTTTAAGTAGCCTGCTTTCTGCCAGAAGCCTTTCCTTTTGCAGCGTCTGTTCTGCCCACTGTGCCCCTGAATCTGCTCGCGCTGCTGAATCTTTGCAGCCTGGGCAAGTGGGTCTAAGTTGATCTTCACTTTCAGGGAATTTTTTGTCATCTAGTGACTCAGTTGATAAGAGCCTATGTCTGTGCCTATGGACACAGATATAAAACTCTTTTTAAGTCTAAATTATTTCTTTGACTTTAGCAACAATGCAGTCTCCCTTATAATGATCACTTTTGGAGTGATTGTAAAAATATCAATATTAAATGCTATTGAGCCAAGGAGGGGGCTGTTGGAAGTTAAGAACATCCCATAGCTATGAGGTTGATGTTGGAAAGCATCTAAGACATTCCTTAAATGTGGGGGAACATCGAAATCAGTGGTAAATTTCTTCAGTCAGGATGAGATATGCCTTCACTGCTCTCTTGATCCTTCTGGTGAAAGGAGGCTTGGAACAGTAACTTAGGATGCAAGGGAAAGTCCACTCTTCTTTGAGTCCATAAATCTACCAGCTGTCCAGTGTTCTGGGAATACAGGCAGTGAGGAGGAGCTTTATTATCACGCAGGATCTGGTCTCATGAATGCTCCAGCTGTCCAGCTTGTCAGACTCTCAGGTTTGTTTACTTAAGAAACAAATGGAAACCGTAGAGCATATGAATGGAAGGAAGGCAGATTTTTAACCAACTTTATAACTTTCTCTGTGCTTCAAGGCAGTCTTTTTAAATGCATGGGCTGTCCAAGTTCACATCAAAGTCCTGTACAATTGTTGATCCGATGTTGTTCTTGTGAGTAGATTTAGACAGCTTCCTCTTGTCACCAGAAGGTGATGTATCGAGACCTTTTTAA